GCCTCACCCTTGCTACCAGCAGGCAGGGATAGCTAATAATTATGTAGTAGTATTGTCTTAATCTAAGAAGCAACAAAACCGAGTCTAAAAAAAATTCATAAACATAAGGCAAAGTCAAACCTTACCATCAGCATTTAAAGATCCTTCCTGATATGGGCATCAGAAAATGGTTTGGGAGCTGGAGAAACAGCGTTCACAGCTACTTCACACTTTCATTAATATACTCCAGTATTAACAAAGTAAATCCCTCACTGACTTGCCTCTTCTGGTGTTGATCCTTCACTGCTTCCGGAATAATAATAAAACACACCAGAACTGGGCTCATAATGAAGAAGAACCACTGGCAGTTAGTTTTGGATGTGAACTACTTAGGCAGTTGGTCATGAGCAGACATCATTTAAATAAGACTGGAAGTGCAGAAATAATTGTGCAAGCGAGTCTCTGGCTGTTCTGAAGGGAGACAGTAGACAGAGTAGGACTGCAGCTCATTCACATGAGCTGAAAACTTCATCCTTTTAATAGAAGTGGCAAGCTCTACCAATGAGTACAAATTACTCCAAAACTACATGCACAAGAGAGTAATTATACAGGGCCACCATCTTCGGTGGCCAAAATTGCAAACATATTGGGACAGTAGAGCTAAGTTACTGAAGGTGATGGAATGCTAAAGTGAAAAACACTGTGTTGCAACAGTAGAACATGCCCATAGAAGTGCTAAACACTGTCCTTATTGCCCACCTGAGTATCGGGAAGGGCTTGAGATGGCTTATCGAGCCATGAATGACTGCTGCCATAAAAGAAATAAAGTGAAATCAGCATCAAATGCTGGAAATCATCAGGAAAAGAACCTCAGAAACACCTCACTGTTCAAGGCTACTGCAGCCCTATCAAAAACAAATGGACATGACTCAAGTACCTTACTTTCCCATTGCAAAAATCTCAGCTGTTGCACAAACAAACCGAGCCAGAATGTCATACTTTGTCGTAAATGGCTGTTTGAGTGGAGCTGATGAAAGATAGTGACCTGCAATTCACAACCAGCTCATTTGGGAAATCTTCTATAATGGATTACACACTACAGCTAGTTCTAAACACAAACAGTGTAGAAGGAAAAGAAAAAAAAAAGAGATGAAAAGTAAAATCCTAATGAAGTTATTGTCCTGGCAGGCATCTTTAGGCCAGAAAAGCAAAGCTACAAAAGAAGTACTTCTCTGTTTTGCAAGTAAATCTAGATAATTCCTGATAAGGCTAATGAATTGCTGTAATTATTACACGCCCATCTCACTTCTAGTAATGAAATATCCCAGGGATATACAGGTAGTGGGCAGTAGTATGTAGGAATATCTAATGTAGAAGAAATTCTGTGGACAAAGAGAAGCCCTGTGATCAGGGTTTCTACTTATCCTAAACCTTTATTTCATTCTTGCTATTTTATGTATTGGCTTCATCAGTTTATAGTGGTAACACTTACTTATTGAGAAGTGTACATGTTTAATAATAAGAAAACATGAAACTGTGGTTGGTGGGGTTGTAGCCTAATAATTTTTCTCCTATATCAAGTTTTGATAAGAGTCTGATCTCTTCTGATACATAATATAAGGCAGGGATATATAAAAGTATTTGTAACACGTTTGTTTTATATATATTTATATATATATGAGTGTACTTGTTTGCTTTGTTCTGAGACACAAGAGATTTTCATTGTGAAAGATCAGTGGTTGGTATATCAGTCTGAAAACCTGCAGAGCAAATTCTGCTCTCAGGGATGTGTATCAGTCCACAACTTCCTTGTGAGGGGAAGAGGAGGGGCAGGCACTGATCTCTTCTCTGAGGTGACCAGTGACAGGACCCAAGCGAATGGCCTGAAGTTGTGTCAGGGGAGGTTTAGGTTGGATAATAGAAAAAGGTTCTTCACTCAGAGGGTGGTTGGGCACTGGAACAGGCTCCCCAGGGAAGTGGTCCCAGCACCAAGCCTGACAGAGTTCAAAAAGTGTTTGGACAATACTCTCAGGCACATGGTGTGACTCTTGGGGATGATCCTGTGCAGGGCCAGGAGTTGGACTCAATGATCCTTGTGGGTCCCTTCCTACTCAGAATATTCTGCGATTCTGTGATCCTAGTCTAATGGTTTTATTTTATTTACTTGTGCATATTAATATATTCAATGATGCCTGTGCCACATAAAGGACTTGGGATAATTTCTCGGCTTGATGAGTATGTGGCATGAATCTTTCCCCTAAGCACAGCTGTGGGCTTTGATGTACTCGAGGGAGGGCTTCTTCCACCAAGTTTAAAGTTCAGCAGTTCAAAGGCACTTCTCATTAGATATTAACCAAAATGCTTTACAAACGAGAAGGGAACGACCTATCTGTGCCTGAAGAATTTGGCAGGGGCCATTCTCACAAGCCAACAGACCACCAGCGTGCCAAAAAACGTCTTGCAGAAGAGAGGTTGGGCTCAGGGGCAGCACAAACAGGAGAGTGACCTCTTACAATTCTGTTTTGGAAAACACAGCCCCTTGGCTTCTCTAAGCCTTGTTTGAAGAGCAAATCTACAACGCAAGCTGTTATGGGCGTTACTTACAGCTCTCTGTATTGCTCCAGCCACATGGTAGATATCTAGCTGAATATCCATAGGGATGCCCACCCTTGGGGCATCATATCAGTCCAAGGGAGTTCAAGCTGATCTTTAACTTTCCTGTCTTTTTTGGTGTGGCATAGAAACCCCTAAGATGACAGATGGAGACAGCAGGTTAATCACTGAAATGCATCTGGGCAAAGAGTCTGTCAGCTGCCAGGCATGCATCCAAGGATGCCGCTGCTCCCTGCCAAAAGCCAAGAAACACAACTGCATCTGTGAGGTTCACAGGGCAACTGGGCTGTTTCTGCTTGCCCGAGACACTTGCTGAAGGAGTCGCTGCTGGAGACATGAGAGAGGCAGAGGGATGAGGGCTCAAGATTCAAGGATGCCTGTCTGCTGAACCACTCGTGCCATGACTCACTGGGATAAGAGCAGGCAGCCAATGTGTAGAGTCAAGTGGGAAACCTAGAAGAGACCAGGATGATATTGGGCTGGTGGAGTGGGTGAGCAGAGGCTGCTCAGTTAGTGCTACAGGTATGAGGTTTGCTAGAAAAAGAAGAAAATTAACTTTTGTTGAACATGGAAGAGGATTCCGCTTTCCCTGTGGTTTAACTGTGGCTTTTCATTTCTATACTTTAAACTCAATCCTCAAAACCCATCATGTCTTTCATTTCTCTGGTCACTCTGTGTAGAGCTGGAGAGTAACACCTGCCTAGGGTTGGAAACCTTTGGCCAGCGTCTCTTTAGAAACAGTGGCTTGAAACAGAGAGAGGCTGCAGATGGGAAAGAGGGACTTGCACCTTGGGTCATGCTTAAGCAAACCTCAGCCTGTGGAGGTGTCTGGCACTGGTGCTGTGCTGCCAGAGCTGGAGAACAGTTGTGGCAGAGGTGGGTAAAACCTCCTGCAAAGTACAGGCAGCCAAAGGGCTTGTAGCAACCTCCAGGGCATACACCTGCTTGATGAGGATCCCAGGTTGAACTTAGATCCTGTTTGGGATGGGAGAAAAATTGAAACTTGTTGAGGTATGTGATCCCAAAATCAATATTTTCACAGCTCAGAGCATGTGACATCTCCCTGGAAGGTGCCTGGTGAGGACAATGGCTGGCACAGAACCGCAGCTCCACATGGCTCTAGTGCGCTCCACCACTGACCAGCCCATGCACAGGCATCAGTAAGCTAATGCCTATGCCTAGAGCCAATGGCTCTAGGTTTCCTTTACAGGCAGGAAAATTCCTCCCATAAATATACACACTTTCCAGAGATGCCCTGTATTTAATGGGACTGGAGGCGGTAGGGTGGGACTTATGAATGGCAATTGAATTTCCTACTTTATTATGTTTTGCATTTCATACTAAAGCACAGAACTTCACATTAACAGTATATCCAGCAATAACACAAACACTTCCTCCAGCTAAATTTTAACATTTGGGTCAAGTCTTTTACTGAATGCAGCAAACCTGTAGCTTTTGCATGCCACGTCCTAACCCTCTCTTACCAAATCAGGTTTTTCCCGTATGTACATAGAAAAGTTAACACTTCCCAGAATACCACATAAATAAAATGCTCTGGGCCGTCTTTCCAAATAAACCCTTAATCCTCAGATATCATTGAAAGTAATTTTTGTCAATAGTGCACCTGTAGAAAAACAAAGAGCAATCACTAAAAAAACCAAATACACTGGTATCTCCAATCTCACTGTTTGGCATCTGCTGGCATTTTTATTTTGCTGATATCTATCAAGCAATTCACAATCAAAATCCACCACTTTGTCATCTGGAGACTTCTGAAATATATATATTTGCTGTTGGAAGATTTTCTGATTCCTGTCTACATAAAATAACTACACCAGAAACTGGGAAAGAAAAGGAAACTGAATTTTCCCAGAGCTAGCACCAAGTAAAGAGATTGCTGCATTATCCCATTTTCTCCCACTATACAGCTTTTTTGGGGAAAAAAAACCCCAAAACAGTGCAGTGCAATATTTAAATCCACATAAAGCCTTACCACCAAAATCAGAAATATTGACCATGTGCATGAGGCACCATCCAGTGCTGCAAACGTTCCTTACAAACCGGACTTCAGTCGAAATTGTTTTTCTCCTTTTCTAAAAGTTGAAATGCATTTCTGATATGAAAAAAGAGATTTTACATAGTTTTAATGCTAAAGTCTCAAAAGTGATTCTGCACTTCTTCACATGGCTTGCAGCTCAACTGAATTAAAAAGCTAAAATGAACGCCTAAATGAGCCCTTGAAATAAATAGTCAGCTGAGAAAAGACACTTGAACAATGAGGAAAACAGAAAAAAAACACAGTGCATACCTGGATCTCTACATCAGTGGAAAAGGCTTTATTTCTTTGCAAAGGCAATGGCAAAGTAGAGCTACTGCAATGCAATCAAAGAAAAATACTTTCTGTATAGGACCATGAAAGCATTAACATAACAGACAAAGCACATTATGTCCTGCCCTTGGCAAATGTGTGGTTGGCTACTCCGGACTGTGACCCAGCAAAAATAAGCAGTCCAAATGAATTTTCTCCTAGGTAATATACTGCTTCATTTACTGCACACAGTAGATACTGGTGGACTGTTTTCTCAAGATTCAGTGTGGACGCACAACATTGCACTGAAGGAAAAGACAAACCCTGTGCACACAAAATTCACACAAAAATGAGCTGAAGTGCTGCTTGGTACACTAAAAAAAACTTCCAAGTACATTTGATCCATCCGATTTTTGACTAGGCTGTGCTCTCGGTGGATGGAAGACAAGGAGAACTCAATCATGTTCCTCAGCACAATGCTGACATTGACAGCTATGTTTTTAAGGTGTTCGTTTTCTCCTCAGATCTCATTACTGCCATTTTCAGTTGTGATTCCTTAAGCTCAGCAGATTTAATTTTGATTTTATCCAAAAGCCTCTTCACCTGGAGGCAATTCCCCTTTTTGCTGGAGGGTTCTACCCACTTCTGTCAAGCCAGTCTGGCTATCACTTCTCTTTCAAATACACACACTATTTCAGAGACCAAATCAAACCAGTAGGATCAAAAGAAGCAGTATTGATGACAGATCAAATGCACATTAACCGCAACCTGTTTATTGATTTTTGAATCTGTCACATGTTATTTCCTTATTCCCTTTGTTTCTCAATTGCTTGAGAATGTTGATCTAAGTCAGCTTTTAACTCCACTTTGTCACCATGACCTTTTTTGATCCCAGTCCATTTGTTCTCAAATTAGGTCACACTACAGAAGCTGCTTTGCTCCAGGTTGTGGTTTTCATGCTCTCAGTTAAATTAAATCTTTCTATGCCACCAGCTGGGACAATTGGTGCCTGATAAACAGTGGGGCCTGGGACAGTAAACCACAATGCCCTCTTCATGGCACAGCCCTTCCCTGAGTGAATAAGGAGCTGCTGTAGGAACTGGGGAGAGGAACCGGAGCAGGGCATATGGAAGAGCTTCCTTGCAGATAGAGATACCGGTGGCAAGGTATAAGCAGATGCTCACCTTCACCTGTCTTCCCTTCCTCCAAATTGGAAACTGGGACAAATTTGCATTGAGGGCTAGGCTGCACCTAAGCAGGGCTAAGTAGAAAGAGCATGGTAAGTTATCACCCTTCATTCATGCTCTTCTGCACCTTATTTCTGCCTCCTCCAGGACCTTTGCCAGTAATCTCACATTTCTTCGACTGCTGTCTCTGGTTGCTGCCACCCCCTATTAGCTGAAGCACACACTTAGCAGCTTTGCTCCTGCATCCACTTGGGAAATGAGTCCCTCTTTTCCAGAAGCTTCTCTTCTTCTCATCCCTGCTCTGCTGTCTTGAGAAGGATATTACACCAGCAGAGCTAAAGGTCTCTGTGTCATGTTCCGTGCTTTGGGTTTTCTTTAGCATATCCAGAGGCACCCTAAAAAAAATAAAAATAGGATAGCCATGGAAAAATTTCCCTATGTGTAATTAGCTGAAAAAGTAGTTAAATGTACTGCTGTTATGATCTGAAATACACATATCTGTGAAAAGAAGATATCAGCATGTGGGCTAAATAACAGGGTAGAAGGGACCACATGGAATTATGTTCTGAGCATAACATATAATCTGTAATCATTAGTGCAGCAGGGTGCCACTTAGAGCTATAATAAGTCAAATGAATCCCAGTGCTACTCTATTTGCTCCAGTGAGGTAACAAAATCACAGGGTAATAGAATAAGTTGAGTTAGGAGGGACCTCCAGAGGTCATCTAGTCCAAAACACATCTAATCAGATGGGCTTGTTCAGGGCCGTGTCCAGTTAAGTCTTGAGCACCTCCAAGGAGGGAGATCCCACAGCCTGTCTGGGCAGCCTGCTCCAGTGCATGACCATCCTTCCAGTAAGAATTTTTTTCTAATATCTAGTGAGAATTTCCCACCTTCCAACTTGTGCCCCTTGCCCTCGCTGTGCTCCCCTCAGAGGGTTGGCTCCCACTTCTATGAGTCCTCCAGCTGGGAGCCATTCTGGTTCCCATAGAAGACAACAGACTCCTCGTGCCCAGAACCACCAGGTGCTTAGGAAACAGCAAAGACCAGCTGTGGCACACGAGGACAGAGGACACACTCAGTGGGAAAGTGCTCCCGCTCCAAGAACACCAAGATCTGAACACTTTCCTGCCATTTAGACACTGGTCAGGACTCAACTTTTTTCTCTTTATGGCTCATTGGCAAGGATTGCTTCTGAACACTAGCTGCTTTAGAAAGACTTTTGCTTATCTGCCTCCCACCACAATTAAATCCTTTTAAATTCCATTAGCTACAGTATACTTTTATTTTGCAAACACTTTCTAAATTGCACTTCATATGGCCACAAGTTCTAAAAATCTGTCCAGAGGTTTCCTTCCTTTACACTGTGACCTGCCTGTGTTTAGCAAAACTTAATTTGATGTGGAGGTCACTTCTGAAGGATGAGAGCTGCACCTGTGCTGTTGGCCAGATGGAATGCACCTCCAGTAAAGTAGGAGATGCACTTCTTCACATTTCCTGCTGAGTTTGTTAAACAGGTTATATCTATTTTTAAAAGCATTGTATTACAAACTTTCAGGGAACAACATAGGCTTTTCTCAACAGAATTAAGGCGAGCTGAAAAAAAAAAAGAAAGAAACAATGCATTAATGTCAGTGTCAAGAAACAAAGCCTGTAATGTCTGAGGGCGCTGAAGAGAATGAGAGAGGGGAAAGTTTATTGGCTCGTGGAATGCAATTTTTCACTCCTTTAAAATGCTCTAGATTGTCAGTTCCTATTAAGTTTTTACTTTTTGTTATGTAATATATGAACCACATAGCTTAAAATCATTCTTGTCCTGGCAGTTTACAAGCGACATGCAGTAAATTAATTTAATTCCATTTCTCACTGCTTAAGAAAAACAAAGCGGCAACCGCAGCAAGGACTGGTGATTATTAACTGATGTTCCCACTCTGAGGGATTTTTTTTTTTTTTAGGTGACACAGAAACATTCCTTTGTTTACTCTCCTTTGGGGAAGAGGATCTAGTTGCTCAATTTTTAGGCAACACTTTTTTCTGCACAATGGAGAACACTGTGCAAGTTCCTCATTTACAGTTGTGTTAATCTCCTCTAATGTACACAGCAATTTGAGGTGTATTCCCCAGATCTGTGGCTGACAGTAGACTTGACTTTGCCCAGATATGACACACTTACAAGCCTGTGTTCCCCACATGTCTGCCTTACCTTTTCAATATTCAGATTCTCAGGGAAACCTTAGCAAACAAGGAAGTTGTCCTTCAGCCTTAGAAAAACAAAGTTGGGTTTTTTTCCTTTTGCACAAGTGCTCTAGGCACCCTGGAAATCATAACATGGCAGAGCCAGGAAAGAGTCTCAAGTTGCCCAACCTATGCATAGTAAAATTACAAGAAAAATTACTCTGGGACAAAGGCATAACGACCCTAGCCTGCTTATCCTGGCTGCAGAACAAATGCTGTTGTCATCCGGTGTTTAACTTATGAGGCAATAACAATTGCTTTGTGATTTTGATCCTGCAAGAGCTAAAATAATATCCTGTATTTCAGATTGCAAGCAAAACCCTTTCTGAAAGGCTCTTCTGTACATGACAATACAATAAACTTTTGTACATTATAAAAAAACAACTATTTATTAATATTCCATTCTGATTTGTAAAAGGTGGGTAGTTAAAAAATCTGGTGAGTCTGGGGAGGACTCTGCTGATTGAAAGCTCCCAGTGTTACTCTAATCTACAAGAAGGCTGTGAGGGAAGACCCAGGGAACTACAGACCTGTTATTCTAACGTTAACTTAAATTCCTGGAAAAGTTACAGAGAAGATCACACTGGATACTGTTGAAAGGTATTTAAAGAACAATGCAATTATCAGGCACAGTCAATTCGGGCTCACAAAAGGAAGGTCCTGTTTAACTCATTTCGTATCCTTCAATGATAAGGCCACCCACCCAGTGGATGAAAGGAAGGTGGTGGATGTAGTTTTTCTGTATTTCAGTCTGTTTTTCATACTGTCCATCACAGCACCCTTCTGCACAACTCATCCAGCAGTGGGATGAATGGGTTGATGGTGTGCTGGGTGAAGAACTGACTGAGGGGCAGAGCTCAAAGACTTGTAGTGAGTGGGGCTACTTCTGGCTGGTGATCAGTCACTGGCAATGCTCCTGGGGGCTCAGTCCTGGGGGCCAGACCTGTTCAATGTATTTATCAACAATCTGGATGCAGGACCTGAACACACCATCAGCAAGTTTGCTGATGATGCCAAAATGAGAATTGCTGTTGACACTCTCGTGGGACAAAAGGTCTTGCAGAGTAATCTGGATAAACTGAAGCACTGAGCTATGATTAATGGGATGAAATTTAACAAGCCCATATGTTGGATTCTGCACCTGGGATAGAGTAATGCTGGGAACAAGTACAAATCAAGAGAGCGGTGGCTGCAGAGCAGCCCTGCAGAAAGGGATCTGGGGGTGCTGGTTGGCAGCAGGATCAATGTGAGTCAGCTGTGTGTCCTGGCAGCCAGGAGGGCAAATCCCATCCTGGAGTGCATCAAACACAGTGTAAGCAGCAAGTGAAAAGAGATGATTATCCCACTGTTTTAGCATTGGTGTGGCCTCACCCGGAGTGCTGTGAGCACCGCTGGGCCCCACAATTTCAGAAGGTGTTGAGGTCCTTGAATGTGTCCAGAGGAAGGCAACAGCTGGTGAAAAGGCGGAAGAAATGTCTTATGAGGAGTGGCTGAGGACTCTAGGCTTGTCGTTTTGAGGAAAGGAGGCTGAGGGACAACCCCATTGCTCTTTGCAGTTTCTTTTGGAGGGGAAGTTCAGAGGGATATGCTGATCTCTTCTCCCTGGGAATGGTTCAAAGCTGCACCAGGTAAGGTTTAGACTGGACATTAGGAAACACTTCTTTACTGAGAGAGTGGTCAAGCCCTGGAACAAGCTTCCACGAGAGGTGATTGATGTCCCAAACCTGTCAGTGTTTAAGAGGCATTTGGATATACCCTTAATAATGTGCTTTAACTTTTGGTCAGCTCTGAACTGCTCAGGCAGTTGGACTGGATGATCAACATATGTCCCTTCCAACTGAAATAGTTTATTGTAAACACTCACTAATATTTCCCCCCAAAATGCTGTTTCTATGACCAAGAGTCAATGAAACTTGCCACAAAAAATGAACCACAAGGGTTGGTTTTCTTACAAAAAGACATGAGCACGTTTCTCACCTGGTCTAAGGGGATAAAACCCACACTCAAATGACCCAGCACAAACCTGTGCTATTGCAATGACCTGATCAACTTATGTACAGAAAAGAACAGAAATCAGTCCCACAGTGGTCTGGGGAACTTAAAAAAAAAATCCCGTCATACCTTGTCCCAAAACACAGGAACAATAAAAAAAAATAAAAACAACAAAACAAAAACAACAACAACAAAGAACCAACAAAAAAACCAACAAAAAACCCAAAGCAAAGTCCAAGTCTTTCATTCTAATACATTAGATATAAATAGCTAAGAAAGCCAAGTAAGCAAATCCAAAGCCAGAGCTATGATGGCAGGAAGACAGAGGTTGAAGGGAGATATAGGCATGTCTTCATAGGTATGTTAAGTTCCTACCACAACAACAGGGAGAAAAGGGCCCATTGTTCCCTGAAAAACGTATGAGTTAAGTTCACAACAGAGGGACTTGCAGTTGTATAAGAGAAAGAAGCTGAACACATGATAAGGGGAGAAACACAGCCTCACAGAAGAATATTTTGCAAAGTCTAACCTCTGCAGATCCAGCCAGCACGAACAAAATGCCACCAGGGAAGAGTATCTCTTGCAACTTCCCCTGCTTTTCAACCTGGGGCAAATGCTCAGCCCTGCACTATGTCATTTTGGGTTTACATCACCACAAATAAGATCAGAAGCTTTGGTTTTATCTTGCTTTGATTTTAGATGAGAAAGATGGTAACAACTGGACTAGTAACATAAAACACCCTCAAAAGCAACAGTGTCAGGAGTAAAAAGGAGGAGCCTTTCCGTGAAGCAAGTCTGATTCTCATGTACACTGAGGCCACTTTACAACATTCTGGATAAAACAGGGTTTACAAGGGAATGAACATATAAATTACCCTGCTTGAAAGGTCCTTGCTGACAGGCAGAGACTGGGTCTGAGGTGGAATTAACTTCATCTGTCGTAAGCCACATGCAGGGGCTCCCCTTGAAGTCCCTGGCAGCAGACAGGTGGCCATCAGAGACCCATGGATCCATACTGCACATTGCAGCTAGTCCAGCTCTGTTGAAAGCAGCATGGTCTGGGACAGCAGAACTGGTTGTTGGACATCTCAGCCAGAGTCTACAGCAGCTTCAGCAGGGCTACCCACCTTTAGCAGGGTTACTCACCAGCCTGCTGCTTCCATAGCCCCTCTGGGAAGGGATACCTATGCTTGTCAGGAAGCTCCTCTTCCTCCTCCTCTTCCTCCCTGGGGCTAAGACTCAGGCCTAGAAGAATCCTGGCTGTTTTTCTATCCTTCAACACTGACTCCAGCCTTCTGGTTGTGGTGTGGCAGCACACCAAAAACTTCTGATGGGCCCTGACCAAAATTTGCCCAGACACCACACCCTATATTCACCAACCAAAGCAGTGTTATCAATAAAAGAACAGGTGAGCTCCCCATGTCAAGAAAGCATGACGACCCAGGCTTGGACTCAAGACTCCTACTGCAGACTCAATTAGATCCCAGCTGATAGCTTGGATTGGCCTAGTTTACCACCACCACCACCAAAATTCCAGTCTGCAAGATCTCAAAGTGCCACAATGGAGGAAAATATTAAAAAATCTTTTTCTTTTCTTTTTTCTTATCACCGCCATTCCCTACGATAAGTAGATCATATCATCACAGAGATGTGACTTGGATCTATAGCCATGTCCCTGTTCGCTGAACTCAGAAGCACTTCCCTGTGTCCCGAAGTGAGCTCTGGCTACTTCTGACACCACAAAAAAGGGTGGCTCACCTACCTCATGACCCTTTCTCTTTCTTTTCCCTCCTGAGGAGAGAAGGCATCTTGGCACAGAGGTTGAACAGAGCTGTAGCATATTGCACACCTAATGCTGCTGTACAAACAAGCCTACTGCCTGCTTTCCCCTCTCCCTCATCTCTGCCAATGCCTCTGTGCGTCACCTGCAAGTTGGAGGGTACCAAGGAGGCAGAGAGCAGGCAAAGCCACTACGTCAGTAAATGCGTCTGTGGACCCCCTTTTATCCTGCTGGGGCATTAACAGATCAACAAACACCCTGTTCCCATTGAGTTCTGACACACACCCAAGGGTACACCTAACTCTGGGGTTTCTTCCTTTTTTTTTTTTTTTTTTTTTTAATATATGTCTGTAAGTGATTACATCCGGGTTTGTGCCCGTGCGGCAGAACCAAAGAGCATTCATCAGAAGAATAATGATGCAAATGTGGCTTCTTATCCTCCAATGATTGCCCATCTGGCAAAAAGGTTTAGAAAATGTAACAATAGTTTTGAAATAAATAGGAGGAAAGTAAAGACCGGCAGTGTACTTTCCACATCAATAGCAAATATACTACTGATGTGGAAAGTAAACAGCTTCAAACAGGAGGTGAAACCGCTGTGGATAACTCTACACCTGTGAGATTTAGGCTCGAATGCCAGTGCATTAAAACTCAGGCAGAAAATCCCAAGTTCATCACCTCAAATTACAAAAACAGGTATTAAACGCTGTATCGTCTGTAGCCGGGTAATAACAGAGGGCCAGCTTAAATTCGGAGGATTAAAATACCTCGCTATGCGTTTCAAAATCTTACCTCCTTGTACGGAGCACTCTATCCGTTCAGCACACCTGTATTGTACAAGAATTCCTCAAAACCATTTCCCAGGCAGAGCTGGTTTTTGGGGGGGGGGGGGCAGGTGGGCGTCTGCATGCGGAAAGAGATGCAAACCTGCAGCTACTGAGGAGAGGCTGAGGCCGCACCTCTCCCATTGCTGCCACACCGTCCCGTCCCGTCCCGTCCCGTCCCGTCCCGTCCCGTCCCCTGCACGCGCACCTGCAGGGGACGGGGAAACTAAACCCAAATTACAGGTCGCGTTGCTGTTTGTTTGTTTTCGGGTCTAGTTTATATCGCCACCTCGGGGAGCGCCCCGCGCCCCGCCGGGGTCCGCCCGAGGGGCAGCGCTCTGGGCTCCAACGGAGGGACCCCGGGGCGCTGCCGGGGCTCGGGCAGGGCGGGGGCGGCCCCGGGGGCGCCGGGAGCTCCCTGTGCTGATTGGGCTGCGCGGCCCGAGGCGGCCGCGGCCGCCGCCCCCGCCCCGCTCGGCTCCGCTGCCTCCGCTCCGCCCGCCGCCGCCGGGACTCCGCCGCTGCCGTCGCGGCTCCGCGCCGCCCGCCCGCCCGCCCGCCCTTGCCCGCCGCTTCTGCCGGGCCCATGGCGAGCACGTCGGCGGAGATCATCGCGTTCCTGCTGACCATCTCGGGCTGGGTGCTCGTCTCCTCCACGCTGCCCACCGACTATTGGAAGGTGTCCACCATCGACGGCACGGTCATCACCACCGCCACCTTTTGGGCCAACCTCTGGAAGACCTGCGTGACCGACTCCACCGGCGTCTCCAACTGCAAGGACTTCCCATCCATGCTGGCGCTGGACGGTCAGGCTCCCGCTGCCCCCCACCCTGACACCTCCCCACCTTCCCCTGTGCTGCTCTGCGGGAACTGGGGGCCCCGCGGATCCTCCCGGGCCGGTCCCGGAGCCGGCGGGGCGGGCGGACAGCGCGGGGTCGGGGCGCCGAGCGGGGCCGTGGGCGGCGGAACCCCGGCGGGAGCGGCTCCCACGGGGGCTCGTGGGCAAGTGCCCTCGCGTGCCCTGGCAGGTGGCAGCGTGCTGCTTGAGCACACCTGTGCAAGTGGGGTTTTTTTCCCCCAAAACCCCTGATTGAAAGTGTTTGGTGCCTAAGTGGCGGCTTTGGCCTCTTTTGCTGTCCCTACCTGCTTTTTTCCCCCCTCCTTCCATCACAAGAGTGTGCGTGTGGATTTGACACAAGAAGAATGCAGGCAAATTTTTCTTGCCGATTTATTTTCTGACTGTCATGACATTCTTCTTTTTTATGGTTTTGCCAGCCATGCAACGGTCAGTGGAGAAGAACAAGCCTTGGCGTCGTTTTGTTTTAATTAATGTTCTTTTGCTGGTTATGCTAAGCGGTTATTAACTTGGATGTAATTGCTTCATTGATAAATGACAGTGTAAAAGCTCGGGGCAGTCAGGGATGCAAAGGTATGCAGAAGGGATGCATAGCTTGCCTCAGTTTTAGGGCAGTGTTATTTTGAAGCAAATCTGAGTTTTGCTATAGGGCTTGGAACCAAAGACTTGAGTTGGTGCTACATTTCTTCTCTGTTTAAGGGGGAGCATTTTTGCCCTTTAAAGAAGCTGAACTGGGAAATTGGTTCACTGTGGAAAATCTTTGCAACTAAACTTTTAGTTGATAAATCCACACTGATTATGGCTGGTAGAAAAAGGAGATGTGTGGATGGCATCCGTTTATAGCCTCAGGAGTGACTATAAAGAGAGGGAGGAAAGGTTTCTTTTCCAAGTTTCTATAGTTATAAATGAATACAATATAGAGTGTCCCAGTGGCTTTCATACTCACAAAAGATCAGATTCATGGTCTGGCCAGCCACTCCCTTTGCACTAGAATCTGAGTGTGAATTTTGGTGTGAAAGTTTTGTTTAGATTAACAGTCCTTCTTTTCCTTTTAATCACTAACTTATTATTGTAACAGCGTTTAATGTGATCATGAAATTAATACCGGTATCAGAAAACCTTTAACCTCTGTATGCAGAAAGGCCTAAAACAGGTCAAGATACTGGAAAAAGGTAACACAGGCAATTCTTAAACATCACTGTTGCAGGATGCTTCCCTTGGATGGAGAAGTACTATTCCTCAGATCTTCTTTTCACCCAGCCCCAGGTAGCAGAGGGATTTGCCAGTTCCTCTGAAGGGGTGGGATTGCTGGCTGGCCTCCATTGACATCAGTCACTATATGGCCAAGTGTAGCAGCTGAGAATGTGGTTTCCAGGCTTGGGCAAGGAGCTGTGTTCTCTGTGCAGGTGGGCACAGAGTAATTGCTGGTGCGTAACCTTTTGGATCCACCAAATCTATTGCTTAGCTGTTCTTCTAGGTCTGGGTTAATCTGTCTTCAGGGTAAGAAAAGCATAGTTACAAAGTCACCAGAATTGGGAACATTTAAAATTTCAAAAAGAAAAAGACTCTTGATAGCAAAGTCCTTACCCCTCCTTCCTCCAAATGCTTGTACATTGAAACGTTGTGTGTTGAGTAGCATGTTCCACTTGGCCAAGGAATGAGTTTCTGAGGCACCTTCTGCACTGTGAGAGAGTCATTAGTTCATTTTGGACAGAAGTGAATTCCAGATGCACACTGGAAGGGCCCTATCCCATCCTCCCGGCCAGACTGTTTATCAGTAGTAGAAAGTTCTTGGCTTTCAGTTGTTTCTCAATAGCATCTCTAAATGCTATGGAGCCAGATCCTGGTACCCAGGCACAATGCAAGTGGAAGACAGGCTGGAGAGAGAGGAATGTACCCCCCTAGCACAGACCGGGCAAGCTGGGTCAGGTCAGAGGGGCAGCTACACGCAGGCAGAGGTGCTTTCCACAAGTAGCCTGGCCCAAATTCCCCTCCTTGTGCTTACAGGCTCTGCTGGGAACCCTTTAGCACCTGACCATGGGTGTGTAGGTCCCCTCTTCACCCTAACCCTTCCCCCATGCAGGAACGTACTTCAGGCTTGCAGTGCGTCACTCATGGCTTAAAGAATTCGTGTGTCAGCGTAAAGCTGAATCTGCCTCAGCCCTTGAGTAGCCTCTCCCTTCTCTCCTCTTCTCTTTGCACGGACTTACATGTCTAAGATGGATCCCATTCCCTGTGATTGGGAATGTGGTAACTTCCTGGCTCCATCCTCAGGTGGGGGACTCAGAAGACACAAAAGGGCAGATCTGGTTTTCTGTATTCAGTGAAATGTTTGTGAGCAGAAACAATAACCCTATAAAGATAAATGTAGCGACCAAGTGTTGGTCTCCTCAAAATGGTAGGGCATGACTGGAAATCACTAGTAATATTTTTGTTGTCCCAGGAAAATGTGGTTTTTCTCCACTCCTTCCTCACACAAATGGAAAGGATTTGCCTCAGAACAGTTCCTCTTCTACAGAAATGTTTTTTTGGTCAAATCAGAAACCTCTGAATGTTGCTGTACTTCTTGTCTGGAGAGACTGCTCAGATCTGCCAGGGGATTAGAGGTAAAACGAGGATGGAAAAAAATTGGGATATCACTATGCTTTGAGCAACCTGGTCTAGTAGGAGGTGTGCCTGCCCATGGCGGCGGGGGTAAGAACTAGATCTTTAAGGTCCCTTCCAACCCAAGCCGTTCTATGATTCTATTATTCTGTGCCAGTTGCTGGAGTTCTCCTGTGCAATACAGCAGAAGTCCTTTCTTCTTCAGAAGCAATGTCATAGTTCGGGTCAGGAGTGCTCAGGAGATGGTTCCCCTTTATCCTTGTTTTGGTTTGCATCATGGAGTGGGCTTAGACTGTGCTCCCTAGATTGCTGTAGGATAGCACAGCAGCAGGGCTGCCCTGATGGCTTTCAGGCCCTCACTCCACACAAACGGCTTCCAGAGAAAATTGTATGTGATTCCCTTCCACCTTTATGCAATTTGACCAGCCTTCATTAATTATACAGCCCCACATTCTGTGTACAAGCAAAAATATTGTTCCTCTCTGTGGGACTTACAGTAATTTTGGGTTTACTTCTTTGTGCCACTGGTCATAGGTGTAAATTTACTGATGAAACCACCTCCCCAAAAGAGGACATATCAGTTTCCATGTTTCCAACAGTAGATCTGATGACCTTTTGTAAAACGGAGCTGAACAAAAATTTACTTATGAGCTAAAAGAGGGTATTAGAGCTTAGAATGACAGACAAAAGCAATGGGTGTGTGCTTTTGGAAGGAATCTATGCTGTATCTGTAAGGCAACCTCTTACCCTTCACGTGATGCAGACTGCAAAATGCCACCAGAGGCATTTGTTGTGAAAGTGGCAGTCCCCAGAACTTTGCATATATTTTTTTCCATAGTGTCATATGATATGAATATGTGAATGCCTCCTAACTCTTTGTAAGCCTGAGAGACAAGTATGAGAGCAGTGAGGCAAGAAAGATGAAGCTCTAACAAGATTAATTTGAATGCAAGACAAAACACATTTGTTTAAGACAAAAAAAACCAACAAACCCACCAGCAAAAAACAACAAAAAAACCCCTAACAAAAACCACCTTGAAATAGGTTTCTCTTGGAATGCTGCTAAACATGACTTTATGAGTAATGCATGTTTGTCTGCTTGTCTGTTTAAAATGCATGGCTTTTTGTCGCTTGAAGCTTCATTTGGGAGGTTTGTAGTTTCCTACAGGAGCTGGTGCAAATACAGACAATAAACATTTGGAAAAGGGACAGGTTTGGTCTTGAGTGGAAGAGTGTGAAGAAATAGGCAGCTTCCTTTTACACTCTTCTGCATTACTATAGAATCACAGAATAGTTTGGGTTGAAAGGGACATTAAAGACCATTTAGTTCCAACCCCCCTGCCGCAGGCAGGGACACCTCCTACTAGAAGAGGTTGCTCAAAGCCACATCCAATCTTCAGCACCTCCAGGGATGGGGCATCTGCAGTTTCTCTGGGCAACCTGATCCAGTGCCTCACCACCCTCACAATAAATAATTTCTTCTTGACATCTAATCTAAACCTGCCCTCTTTCAGTCTAAACCCATTTCCCCTTGTCCTGTCACTACATGCTCTTGTACAATGTCCCTCTCCAGCTTTCCTGTAGGCCCCCTTTTGGTACTGGAATGCTGCTATAAGGTCTCCCTGGATCCTTCTCTTCTCCAGGCTGAACAAGCTTAAAAGTCTAAGTGAGCAATATAATCTTCTTGCTTTCTTGGAAGCAAAAAAGAGGTTTAGTTCCTCTTACAGCCAAATGCTATACATAGTTTGAACCTAGGGTCTAAGCAATAGGAGGCTGGATTTGGTGAAAAAGTTGATTTCAGCCTTTTATGCTTCCTGATGCTCCGGTCAGCCTAGTGGGACTAACAGAGCCTTCTGCTCTTCCACATTACTGGTGTAAATTGTGATTATTTTTTATATATATATTATGTTTTAAAAATGTGTGCCAGCTGGCTGATTGCTGTGGTGAAATGAAACAAGCCTGACTGTGGCTGGCCTGCCCAGTTGGGTGAATTATTTAGTGAGGAAGGTTATTCATTCAGCAGAACTGAGCAGTCCTTCAGCTCATGCTGTTTATAATTGAAAATGATTTCTGAGTGAGTGAGTTAATTATTTCTTGCTGTCTCACTACCCTCTACCTATTCTAAAACTGTGTATTGACCTTCAGGAAAAACTGATTTTCAGCCCTGTGGTTACTAGCAAATGCTGGATATTTTGATTGGGGTGAATATTTACTGGTTTTCTTAGGAGGTTCAGACATAAATAAAAGTTTAGAGGACCTCCGGGTAAATATGTTCATGGTTCAGCACTTTAATGTGTCAATTAGCTACAAACAGTGCCAATAAATTGGACCTGTCAAAAATAATAGCTTCCTTCCCAGTCTTCGTCTTGTGCTTTACCTGTCTGCTGCAAGAAGTATATTAAACATCACCTACTGTAGTAAAAGCCAACTTGTCCATGCTGATAGCAAAAATTAACAAAGCAAGGCTGCTTTCTTCAAACTTGGCTCTTGCACAAATGACTGACTCTTTCTCTCTTACATTCCGACATGTGAGTCGTGTGACAAATGGAGGAAGTCCATCTGTGCGCCAGCAGATGTAGATAAATGCCAGTAGGTGGACAGCACAGCTCCCAAGTTCGGTAGGCCTGATAAAACGGGTTGTTAAGTGCAACAAATTGCTTTGTGCACAAATCTGTGAATCAGTGCGAGGTTTTAAATGTTGTTCAAGCAGGGAGTTGATATCCTGGAGTTGATGTGCCTCCAGCAGTGGCTAAAGGGGGCAGCAGTAGGGATAGCAGAGGGCAGCCAAGTGTCTGTGGTAGCCATCTGCATCTCAAGGACCTGCCAGCCAGACACAAGTTTCTCTGTAGTGAATGTATCCAGTCTCTTTTTGAATCTCTGTAAATCTTTGGCATCCAGATATCCTGTAGAAAGGAGTTCCACAGATTCATTATACAAAAAAGCACACTTCTTGTTCTGAATCTACTGCCTTCTGTTTACATTAGATGTCCTTTAGTTTCTGTTTTAATATATTATTTTCTTATTACAGACTTTTATGCAGGGCTTGGAGTTTGGGGGGTTTTTTGTTTATTTGTTATTATGTAAAATTTGGTGTAATAGGCAATGACAATGTGGTTTAGCTCTCAACATTTCCACCCACTGGAGATCAAAGCAAAAGGAATGAATACCCTAATCGTGGGAGTTCATATTCGTTTTAAATGAGATGTAACAACAGGTTATGAAGAAAAACATCTTGTGATGGTTATTCAGCTGTGTAAGATTGCAGCGTTCCACCCTGTAAGCAGTGATATGAAATTATCACAGTCTTTCAATTACAAGATATTCTCGGAAGGGAGAAGAGGCCAAGCAACCCATGGTCCTGCTGAAGGGCCCTCCCCTGGGAGGTCCCACTCGCAGCAGCCTCAGGCAGCAAGGCAGAATTGTTTGTGGCTGAAGCCAGCCACAGGCCATTTGTCCAGGTTTAAATATGGCAGTGATTTGCTTTATCCTGAAGAACTACTGGCGTCCATAGAGCTGAGCATGTTCGACTTCCTTGGGGAATGAAGGCTGCCTTGGTGGATCCAAATCAAATCTGTGGCAAGTCCAGGCAGGACCCCAGCCAGGGTCTCTGCTGCCAACCCACTGACAGTCAATTGCGTCTGCAACACGCACGCACAACAAGACTGACACGTGAAACTGGCTTTGTGTGCATAGAGTGGCCCCGCAACCTGTGACAGCCCCTGAACAGGCCGCGTGAAGTTGCTCTTTAAAGCTGCATGGGTACAACCTCTTGGAGATACTGTACACAGTGCCACGGGATTATTTTTTGGAGCCTTGAGTGCCATAGTATGTTCCTTAGAAGCTGGGCTGAGGTGATGATGCCCTGTGAAGGGCATCACTCAAAAGAATACACTCAGTGGGAAGGTGACATTACTCCAGCTAAGGTCTGATTCCATTTGCAATAGTGAATGCCTAATGCTGCACAGAGGAACTATAGTGAAACCCATTGTGGTCCCAGTTCTCACATTAGCCTTTATCTTTCTCCCAACAGGTTACATCCAAGCCTGCAGAGGACTCATGATCTCCGCTGTCTGCCTGGGTTTCTTCGGTGCTGTTTTTGGACTAGTTGGGATGAAGTGTACGAAAGTCGGAGGCTCTGATCAAACTAAAGCAAAAATAGCTTGTTTAGCTGGACTGATTTTCATACTTTCTGGTAAATATACTTTATTTCTCTCAGTTTGTGTATTTGAAGTCATACCAGAGCTGTTTCTTTTCCATAGAAACCCTTGCACAATTCTCCATGACTTTGTTGACTTCAGGGTCAGGCCCAAAGCTCTTCTGCTGGCTCCACTGAATAGTTTGTCTTATGCTTTTCAGGGTTGTGCTCTATGACTAGTTGTTCCCTGTATGCAAACAGGATTACGTCTGAGTTCTTTGATCCTTCTTTTGTTGCACAAAAGTAAGTACTTTCCTATATCCATAAATCTTTCGAACAAGTAAACCTTAAGTTTCTTACTGTGCATCAGAGCCTATTTAGATATAGAGAAGGTGCTTCTCTGGGGCAGAAGAGGAGAGTGAACTGCAGTTTTATTGAATCGCTTTTCCTAACCGGAGTAATCATGTGCTGAAATTGAAAGAACAAACACTTTCCTGTACAATGATTGCTCTGTAATATGTGTTCCCAGGCTTATTGTGGCCTGGCAGAGTTCTGCCCTGCTTCCGTAGAGCAGGTGGGGTTGATTGGGAGTGAGTGAAGCCTGCCTTTATGCCAGAGATGCAGCAAAAGGATTGCACAAGACAGAGGTGCTCATTAGGGGCATCATTCCATAGGGAAGGAAAGCACCTTCAGCTTTTGGTAGAAGGTGCTTTCCGTGAAGGTGTCAAGCACTGTACAATCTTGATTCCTCTTGAGAAGAGGTTTTTGTGGGCTCTCTGGACTCTTTTCAGGCATATATTCAAGTCCAGATGACTGAAGTTTGACTCATAAACCGTATCAGAACCCACAGTCTTAAAAGCACTAACATAATGCTTTGACTATACTAGTAATTAAATTTAAGGGAGTGAGTGTTCATAGAACTGCAGGATCCATACCGGAAATGATGAACATCCCTAAAGACTGCCTTTAAAGCTGAGCAAGTTCTCAGGACCTACAAAAGCAGCAATTCACAAACCCTTGTGCTTGGATTTTGGATTGACATCTTAACTACCGCATTGGCTGTAAATTACAGCATCATAGACTTTCCTGTTTTGACTTCATATATGATGTAAACTTTTCTTTAAAGGCAAAGATTTCCTTGAGACCCAAGTAAGGGCTTAGTAAGGAACCCTGAGCCTTTATGTTTCTCTTTGACAGAAAAAAAATAGTCTGCATAAATAACACTGAGTGGGTCCATGTTTGCTGTAGGGTCGACACTGCTTCTCATATCTTGAAAACAGGTTCGTATTAGTTTTCTCCATAATGCCACTCTAGTTTCTGCTTATTTGGTACAGTGAAGACAGGATTGAAAGGCCTCCAAAAGAAAGAAGGATGTGAGGTTCTGTGAAGAAAATGGAGCCTGGCTATATAGACAGAAGTTAATTATTCATCGGGCTTACTGTTCCTGGTGAACAATACCATGGTTGTTGCCAGAAGTGCCTTTCCTACACTGTATTCCTATGCTTCTCTGCTTCAAAAGAGCAGGCAGACCTCACGGTGGAGTTCTACTGTGAAGGAATGAGAAATCCAGTTTAAGTATTAAAGTAAAGATAGTAAAATGTTCTCTGCAGAAGTTACCTTTTTCCTGAACAACAGGGCACACATAATGACAACTGCAAAGATAAAGGCAGAAAGGAAAGCCAGAAGTTGTAATTTGAGTTCCTCGTGGTGCATGTAGCTCATGCAGCAACCTTGTGTCAGATGAAGCTAATGGTGGCTTTCAGCTCTTTTCTCTCTCAACCAGTGTAAAATGTGTTGTAATAATGCATTTTGTTGCTGTCTGTGCACTCCTACTTTAATAAGCATTGCAGAAGCATTTAATATGCCCTGCTGGTATATTGTGGAAATTTGGCATTGGCTCTTCACTGAGAGAGAGTTTCAGCCTTTTGCCTTTTTCTGCACATTTCTCTCCTGAAGTTATTCTGGCAGTGTCAAAGACAGGCTTGAGATACTGTTAGTGGAAAACAAATGACACAAGATATTTAGCATCATGTCAGCTGGCAGAATTTCCCTCCAGCCTTCTGCATTTGGAAAAGGCACCCTGACTATGTATGGGTGCAGGAGGAATCAAAGACCTGCCTAAGGCTGATTCCTGAGAGATTTTGGGTTTGAATTATGTACCTAACTCATGTAGGACAGGCACCACAGGGACACTCCAAACCTCACCTTACTTAGAAAGAAACCTTTGGCTGGACTTTATGTCCTGATATGGTAGTTTTCATTGCCAATTTAAAATGGCTCCAAAGGAATTGCTTGATCCTTCATAATGACATGCCTAGAGCCTTGGGGATAGTATGGGATGCCTTTGTGCTTGCAGCCAAGATGTATTTAATTTTTCTTCAAACACCTCTAATTGGGAAAAATCTGTGCTTTTGTTTTGCAGTCTTGCTGGTGTTGCTCCCACAGATTCTCTTAGAAAATTATTTTGTCACTTTACTACTTTGAATTAAAAAAAACCCCCATAACTCTTATACCCTTTATCCTTTTTGTCCTTTGCCAAATTATGTGACTAACTTCCCATTCTCTCATATAGAGAACTATTTCACTTCAGCTTTCTTGTCTCTGAATGGATTGTGCATAGTTCACAAAGTCCCCCTTGTGATAGATTTGAATGATTTTCCAAGAATTGTAAGAATTAGACATTCATGGTGTGTATTTCTCTTGGGTGATTGTACTGATTCAGTAGGTAGGTATGCCATTTACGTATACCACCTTCCTGGCAGCTAATGAAGCTTCCACTGGTTTGCTTTGAAGTTTACTTTGTGTTCTTAATGTATGTAACAACTAGAATATTTTTCTTCTGTACTGATATTGTACTTTGGTTCTTTCACTGAATTCTACCTCCCTGGATTACTGAAAAAAACCCCTTCTTTTAGCCTGCCTGGTCAGTAGTAGTTGAAGGTGGCTTTCAGTTCTCTGCAGGTGAATTCTCGTGGTCCTCAGCAGTCACCACATCTAAACCTCTTCATCAGTTTCACGCCCCCCCACCCCGAGCTGCCAGTGATCTCTAATCGGATTGATTTCACTGTTAGTGATCCGTGATTCATGGATATACAGCCACAGAATTCAGAGAGTGACTACTTTGGTTCTTGAAACATAGAATTTTAAGAATAGAGGAGTGCGTTTCCTGCAAAGATTTTAATAATAAAGAGGGAAGGGGAAAATAGCAATTGCAGAAATTTATTCTAAAAAAGCCTATATCCTTTTTTTCTTTGTCTGGCAGTACCAGTGTTTGTAGTTTTTTTCATATGGTAAGGTTTTTTTAAATACTGGATTTTGATGGGATGTTAGGGTTAGCTTCTTAAGTGCCGCAAATACCATAGAATTATAGAATGCTAGGTTGGAAGAGACCTCAAGGAGCATCTGGTCCAGTCTTTCTCAGAATCAGCGTGGTCTAGACAAGATGGCCCAGCACCCGGTACAGGCAAATCTTAAAAACGTCTGATGTTGGGGAATCCACCACTTCCATGGAGTGATTATTTCAATGGCTAATTGTTCTTACTGTGAAAAATTGTCCTCAGGTCCAATTGAAATCTCCAGGGGTTGTTTGTACCCACTTATCCCACATCTTTTCCATGTGACTACTTGTAAAAAGGGAGTCTCCATCTTTTTTGTAGCCACCGTTCAAACACTGGAACGTGGTGATAAGGTCTTCCTTAAGTGTTCCTTTCTCGAGGTTGAACAAACCCCGTTCTCTCAGCCTTTCCCCATGTGACAAGCTTCCCAGTCCACTGATCATCTTTGTGGCCCCTCTCTGGACCCTTTCCATCTTGTCCACATCTTTTCTTGGATAGCAGGGACCAAAGCTGAGCACAGTATTCCAAGAGTGGCCTGACAAGCACTGAGTACAGTGGGATAATGGCTTCTTGATCTCTGGTGATGATACCCTTGTTGATACAGTGCAGCGTCCCGTTGCCTTTCTTTGCTGCAGCAGCAGCACACTGTCCTCTCAATATTGAACTTGCTGTCCACCAGGGCCTTCAGGTCCCTTTCCACAGAGCTGCTTCCCAGACGTGCAGATCCCAGCGTGTGCTGTGTTCCTTGACTATGTTTTCTCAGGTGCAAGACCTTACTCATGTCCTTTTTGAACTTCATAAGGTTCTTGTTTGCTCACTCTTCCAGCCTATCCAGGTCTTTCTGCAGGGTGGCTCTCCCTTCTGAAGTGCCCACTTCTCCACTCAGTGTGGTATCATTGGCAAACTCAGTCAGGGTACACTTGATCCCATCACCCAGATCTCTTATAAAGATGTTGAACAGCATTGGGCCCAACATTGATCCCTGGCGGGCTGCACTTGTGGCGTTGTCATTTTGAATGGGAGCTAAGAGACAGATTGGATAATATCCAGGGAGCCATACAGAGGTTTTATATGCAATTGAAAATTTGAAGTTTTCCTCGTAAGTACCAGTATAAATCAGAAAGATTGCTTTATCTGTTTAAAGATGTGGAGGAAAGACCAATTAGGTCAGCTCTGCAACTCATTAACCTAGTGGTGTGGCAGTCATCCAAGAAGGGGCCATATACGCAACCTGTTTATATATGGTATGGTAAGAAATGTTGCTTAAAAAGTACAAAAAATCCCAAGAACAAAGGCCAAACCCCATGTCTTCTTTACCAATTAGTAGGCAACAGTCAGGTAACCCTTTTCTACTCAATTAAATCCAGTATAGTCTTGGTTATTTTTCTGTACAACTGAAGAGCTTCAGGAGGCGAGATGGCGATTTGCTCCTTAACTTCCTCATATCAGCCTCTGGCCAACCATTTAATGTTGTAAGATAAAAATGTGGAAACGAACTTGTGTTTCCCACTTTCTAGGCAAATGGTCTTGACAAGTAAGTTCCTACTGCAACAGCCTTCCTTGACCTTGGTCCAGTGGTGTTCTCCAGCACCACCGTGGTCTGCACCAACTTCTGTGGGGAGCGTAATCCTGATCCACATACCTTAGGTGTGGGCTGGCAATACTAACAGGGACGGAAGGATCCCCAGGATGGGGCTTACCTCACATCCAAGTTAGTCCCTTCGATCTGCCATTACAGCTTGATAAAAGAGGTGCCTCTAGGGTGTTTTAGAACTGTACTTTGTATGTATTTATTGCATGTTGATTATAATGGGATCCTAGGTGATAAGCTCTAATGTAGATCTCTGCTTCTAATAAGAGAATCCCCAGTCCTTGAACAGACAGAAATCTCCTTGAGTCATGTGAAAAACGTAGCACGTGGTTGAAAATGTGAGCATAGATAGAATTAAATCTTTGCAGGTTTGGCAGACTTTGAAGTCAAACAGGACTAGGTGCAGAGTTTTCCAGGGTGAAAGTCAGCTGAGCTATGGTTTCCAGCAGCTTAATTTGGAGGTTGGGTGCCTAAGCCCCACACTGGTGTTAAGGAAAGTTTCTGACCCTGGGTTCTGAGGCAGAGTTGGTTTATTGCACCTTGAGCTGGGTGTCTCCAGAGAGGGACCCCAGACAAAGTAATCCCTGGGCCTTTATCCCCTCACAGTCTATGCACCTGATTTCACTTACTCTTCATGTGCCCTGCATACACCTCATGGTCCAATGGCAATTTATGGTTTGAAGTCTTCTAACGCCTCATTGGATTCTTTCTCCCTGTCCATGTGGGCAGGCCATTAATTGTTCTTCCAGCTTGGGCCAGCCTTGGGGCCTTCCAGGGTCTTAAGCCTTATCTGAAGATAAGCAGGCTTTCTCTGTTTACTCCCCTGCTTGGCCTTTCCTGCTAACAAACAGAGTTCATTTAAAATTCATCTATATTAAGTTTTGAGCAGGGCCCACTTATGCTGAGCTGTACACAAATTACAATTAAACTTAAACCTGCACAAGTTATTTCTAATATTTTATAAATTAAACTTAATTTAATCCCCAACATTGGGTATGGAGAACATTTGGGGGAATCTGATACTTTTTTTAACAAAGGATGATAAATAAAGCTCTACTTTGATGATGTAAACAGAAAATAAAAAAGGAACCTAAAAGCTAAAGCACTAATGGGGCCATGAAGGGTGCAAGCCCTCATGAAGTGTTCTGTGTCTGAGCTCCACAGTCTATATTGCTTTTTGGCACTAAGCTCCTGAGTCAGAAGTTACTCAAACCTGGCTATCCAAGGGCATCTAGCACAGATATCCTAAGTGTAGCTTTTTGTCCTTGTGTGAGTATTTTGTTGTTGTTAAAAAAGTGTGTGCTTTACCTCTGGTTAGACTCTCAAGAAAACACCAAAAAGTGATTTTTTTGTTTCTCACAGGCAATTTTTGAGTGTTTCTGCAGTGCCATCTTTGTAAAGATAGAAGTTTTGTAGGACAACTGACAGGTATTTTCAGTTAAATATTCCAGTAATGCAAAATTAGGGTCTGTGCACTAGTTCAGAACTAGCTGAAAAGTGCAACTACACAAGTCTTTCAGATGTACAGTAGACTGTCAAGCAGAAGCTTTTATTCGGCTGCCTCACCACAGCTCAGTAAATAAAAAAAATTTAGTAACAAAGGCCTGAACAGTACAAGCACCTGGCCAATAACCACGGCTCGATGGGGAACAGGGGCCTGTGTTTTCAGTGCAGGATCCCAGGAATCAGGAGGAGATAAAGGTCTCCTCAAGGGGCAAGGGGAGCAGAGAGGGAGCAAGAGACACACAGTCTGTTCTAATAGTGAGGAGTAGGAGACTCTGAAGACTGTTGGGCCTGCAGCCTAATGCAGGTCATCCTAAAAGTGTTTTAAACAGTGGTACCTCAGGCAAAGAACTGGAGAATGGAGAAGACGAGGTGGCAGCCATGGGTTGCTGCTCGTCTTGAAGCTCCAGGGCTGAGGGGGAAGACAAGAATCTTATCCCCATGTCCTTCTTTTCCTACTGTTGTTTTAGAAACGTGGACTACTAAAGCACCACCATCTCCTTTTGGAGTCAAACTAAGCAGTTTCTGGCCTCAAACAGGTTGTGGCTGGCCCGGGCAGCAGAGGGGACCATTGCTGGTCACCTGGAGCTCTGTCCATGGGTTTGGGGGGAAGCAGTGTCTTCCAGACAGAATCCAGCCACAGTGATGAGAGAAGCAGAAGGTTTCTGGAACACGCCCCCACGTATGCATATGCTCATGTTATCATATGCTTACATCTGCATACGTATATGCATATACTGCAGATATGTAGATGTAATTGCTTATGCATATAATATATATTTACAACCCCCTTTGTGTTTTAAGCAGGAGGGATAGGGAGGGAGGGAGACAGAGAGATCCTGAGAGACAGAGGGGAAACTTAGGGAGAGTTGTAGGCAGAAGTTCTAGTCTCTGACTCAGCAGAAGCCAGTTTGGGACCCAACAGGAACCAAATGCTCCAAGGGGACAGGAGCTGCTCTAAACAGGCCAAAGAATGATGAAACCCCACAGCAAAGCGATCCAGGAGGAGATGCAGAAAGGCCAGGCTCCCCAGCTGGCTGTACAGGGAGATAAGCATTGCTCAAGTGTACTGCAGGGACAGAGTTTGCCTCCCGAGTCAGAGGGAAATAATGAAAAACTGCTGATTTTGTGATGAATAATGTATGTGTCAATGGAAAGTTATTGAAGAAAAATATAAAATTCAGTTATCCTGAAAAAAAATCTGTTAAATCCATGCTCTCTTTTGTTAAACACATTTATTGACTTCCCGTAGGTATGAATTAGGAGCAGCTTTGTTCATTGGATGGGCTGGAGCTTCACTCTGCATAATTGGTGGCAGTATATTCTGCTTCTCAATAGCTGAAAACAGTAATTCTCCAAGGTAAAACACAAGTTGTACATACTGAAAGAAATCAATACCAGTGCATTTGTACCCCCTGTATGTATGCGGTTTGATTACTGTTCCAAAACATTTTATAGTGAGATTCAGAAAGAGATTGTGTGGATAAAAGAAAATAAGGGGATTAAAGGATAATTTAATTAAGAAAAGCTATTGACTCAGAGCAAATACTCATGTTATATATTCTGCATAAATTTACTACCGCTGGAAAACAGTGCATTCACTGATGTAGGAAAAGTGGTTAGGTCACTTTACAGGTGTGAATAGACAAGTTTCTTTAATCCCAAATCATCAGATCAAAAGCAAAAGAGGTGAAGGACAGCAGTGGTGGCAGTGGGACCTCCAGCAGCAGAAAAGGAGTAATAATGAAGAGGCACAGCTGGAGGGAGGAACTGTTCACCTAGGATCTGCCACAGCCCAAGTATTTCACGATTCTGCCCTAATTTACGTAGCTGCGAACAAGGGATATGTGTTTATATAAAAGTGAATTGCAATGTCAAACTAGAATGGAACCACACAGAGAAGGAATGTGCCCCCTCCCCTGAAACTTGTAGGTAGTTTCCTCTACATTTCTTCTAGCTTTATTACTATAATGCCTGGATGCAAAGACCTTACCTGTCTGTGGGATGAGTTGTAAATACTTGTATTTTCTTTTCAGGAGAGGATATGCGTATAATGGAGCCACATCTGTGATATCTTCTCGTACAAAGGTCCACAACAGTGTCCCAGACAAAACCCCACCAAAGCACTTTGACAAGAACGCTTATGTTTAGTTGCACTGTTGGAAGACTCAAAGCATTTTAAAAATGATTTTGTACGTTTCATTCAGAGTGATTCCCCCCCCATTCCCAACTTCAATGTACTTACCACTAAGACAATGACTTTTAAAAATATTAACTTGCAGCTTTTTACATACTGATGTAAATTTTATTATGTAATATTTTAAGATTGATGTTGGTATTGTAAAGTTTATACCTGGAAATCACGAGCTGATGTTGCATTCTTGAAAAAAAATAAATGAGGTATTTACTAATTCAGTTTGTCATGTCAGTTGCCTATGGGAATGGCATCACACATGTCATATTGAGATATTGCAATAATCTCTGACTTGGGTTCAGTGCTGGACAAAACAACCCTAATCTGTACATCTGTACTGGTTAACAGGCAGAATATTTCACCACTTAGTGGTGACAGAATTGCAGAGTGCTTTGTAACTGCAACACCAAGACAGGTGGGAGTGGGAAAGTTCATCTCTGTATTCACAGGGTGGAAGAGCGTGCAGCTTGGCCACAGGAATAAGAAGGAATGGGTTGCAAATAAGTGTGGGATTTGGGTAAGCCGGAGTAGGTACTGATAGTAGTCTGGGCCAGTTGTTAACAAAACCCATTGCTGGTGAGGGTCTTGCCTGGCCTATGCAGAACTTGCCCACGTGTGACCACCAGCCTTCTGTGCGCTTGGCAGGAGAGCAGAGGTTGGGTGAGGCTGCAGCCTGCGGGGAGTGGCAGGGAGGAGGGCACAGCAAGGCTCAGAGACAGCTCCTTTGTTCTGCATTTGCTTTGTACCACTGGACTCCTGCCGTGCTTCAGCACTCAGCCCTGCTCGTGACAAGACACTTCCAGGGGGTTGTCTTCATTCCCTTCTGCTTGACACCTTTGGGTCTAGAATGGCTTGAAGCCACTGGGTTACAAAAGAGAAGGAAAACCCCAAGCAATGCCAGCTGTCTGCTCTGCCAGTGGCATGCCTGAAGGCATGACCAAATAAAAGCAGGCAGTACTAAACAGCACAATTTTAGATAATCCCGACTGAGTTACAACAGTTCAAAAATTCAGCTAGTATTTTTTTTGTCTGACCACAGAAATGTGATGATTTTTGAAGGAATATTTGCACAAGTCAATAAATGAAAAGAGAGATTAACCACAGAATGCTTTCTAGACTCAATCCCTAAAATCAGACACAAACTCAGGTTTGCTATGAGGTTTGAACAGATGGACCTTTGGAGTTTCAATAAAAATTGGTTATTTTGGGACAACGGTGTAAATATAAAAAAATGAACAGTCCTAATTAATAATGACACTATGACAGAAAAGGTTTTTTAGACACCACCTAAATTACATCAGAACCGCAAAATCATTCAAGGTTCTTTTTACTTTATTTTTGTACTTTGTTTAAGTTGAAACACTACTGTGTTTTTTTAAGAAGGCAGCCAGTATGGACAAAACAGAAATACCAAAGTACTTCTGCAATGGCAGGTCAGTGATTTTCTCACTTGACATTTTAATTTTTTTCCAATTTCTGTGCTTTTATGTTCACAAAGACTCAACTTCAATACAAAAAAACCCAAGTAAACCAACTTCCCAAATAGGAGGCATTTAATAATAATTAGCTTTATAGCTGAGGCTTTTTTCTTTTCATTTGGTGTTTATTGTAAACCATGGTAGAAACTTAAATGTTTAATACATGGACACATTTTCTTTAAAATGTTCACAATTTTATATAAAGTTTATGATAAAATACATGAAAATATGCATTAAAAATTGTATAAAGTAATATTCTGCAGTATATTCTGTTCATTGGCTAACAGGCTTTCTAGCAAGACAAGTTTCAATCTTTAATGTAAACATTAGAGGCAAAATCTTCACCTCAGTGAAATGAAAGAGACTTCCACCACTGAATTCATGAGTGTGCTGGTTTTGGCTTGGGTAGAGTTAATTTTCCTCACTGTGGCTAGTATAGGACTTTGTCTTGGATTTGTGCTGGACACAGTGTTGATAATACAGAGATGTTTTTGTTATTGCCAAGCAGAGCTCACACAGAGCCAAGGCCTTTTCTGTTTCTCATACTGCCACACTGGCAAGGAAGTTGGGGGTGCATGGGAGGTTGGGAGGAAACATGGCTGGGACAGGTGACCCCATCTGACCAAAGGAATATTCCATACCATATGACATCACACTCAGTATATGAAGTGGGGGGAAGGAGGAGGAAGAGGGAGGACATTTGGAGTGATGGCGTTTGTGTTCCCAAGTCACCCCTATGTGTGATGGGTCCCTGCCCTCCTAGAGATGGCTGAACACGTGCCTGTCCATGGGAAGATGTGAATTAATTCCTTGTTTTGCTTTGCTTGTGTGCGTAGCTTTTGCTTTTCCTGTTAAACTGTCTTTATCTCAACCCATGAGTTCTCTCAATTTTACTCTTCCAGCTCTCTCCCTGATCCCACTGGTGGGAGAGCGAGCGAGTGGCTGCTGGAGCTTGGTCGCTGGCTGGGGTTGAACCACCACAATGAGAAAGAAGAATTACTCTCAATTTCCAAATAGACATGGCCAGTATATTTCAGCATTCTTTTTCAGATTCAGACTGAAAGACAGGAGAGCTCTGTAAACAGTATTCCTTGTTATTATATGACCCATGAGAGAAATTAATAGGAAACACTTGATGTTTTCAACTGCATTTTCAACCCCAGCAGAACCCAAAAGTAGGGCCTCCCATCAGGAATGGAACACTTATATATCTGAAGAATCACTCCAGTCTGTTACAGTCACTAAGCTGCTTTTTAACGTGCTTGTATTATCAGCTTCATGAAGGCCTGTTAAAACAAACAGACAAAAAAATTAACAATTATTAATTTTAAAAATTAATAATTATTAATGCTCTTTTGGGGGTATTTTTACTTTGTATTTATCTGAGAGATAAAATGACATGCTATGTGAGCAAACACCCATGGACTTCAGGAAGTCCCAAATTTCAACCAGTGAGGAAATGACAAATGTTGATAAAATGAAGGCTGTTTCGGTCAAAGAATACAATGCACAGTACAAGCAGGTAGTGTCAACATTACTTTCCCTTCAAAAATAACCCTGAGTCTCTTTATGTAACTGACACAGCTTTACATATATTGAAATGTTAGAGTTAGAAACTACTATATAAGTTCTTTGTAAGATTCAGGCTTTTACTATAGCAGTAGTTCAAATATTAATCTCAGCCTGGTAGGTCACTTAGACATCTTGAACAAACCTGAAATTTTGTTATTATTATTCTCAAGACAAAATAAGAAAGTTGCCCTCCTCCCTTAAATTTGTGAAGAACAAAAAAATCCTGGATTATTACTTTTTAATATAAGGTTGAAGTCTGATAATACTGTATGCTTTAAAATCTCAAATTCAAATTTCTTGGCATCTCTGTATATTCATGTGTGTGTGGTTTACATATAACTAAGTATCATAAATATATGACATGTAGATGTCATAAAACCAAGCACACAGTTTTTCTTACTTGTTCATTTCTTACAAAACACCATCTACTGAATTACAACGTGTAATACACTGTACTTAAATTCTCCTCTAGGTGTGTCAGTCACTTAAGGCTTAGTATGAATATGTTACCTTCCTCCTTTGGTACACTTTTCTTCGGAAGACCCCATGCATGTACCACTGATGCAGCATTGGACTCATTTTTCTGAACTGTCAGTGCCTTCTGACCTCTGTCATCTTTCATCAATAAAATATCTTCCTCTATCGATGATATATCCCAATCATCTTCATCAGCTTCTGTGAACTAACAGGAAAAAGAAAAAACATGCCTTTTTCCTCTGTCTGTTCAACTTGTCCTGAGATCTTCCATAAACTCAACAAGGTGAAAATGCCAAAGAAAATGTACTGGCACATGGCCTTTATGACATCTATCACAACAGTTTTAAAATCCACATTGATTCAATTACCTAAATGATACTAATTCACTGTTACAGTTAATTAAAGTTAAAACTGGTTTGTTTTTTTTGAAGTCAGGAACTGCAACATTAAAAGTTCTTCCAGTTTTATAGCTGGCAGAAACCTCTGTTTTCAGGTATTACATGTGTAACTTGAAAAAGGATTATCTTTTCTGGAATATTAGCTATTCCAATGGGATGAAAGTCCTTTAAGCATTAGAATGTATATTACTTATAGGATAATAAAGATATGCCATGTTACCATGCAAGGTGGCATTTTATAAGCATTCTGTAGTCACGCCAGGAAAAAATATTGCAAAAAAGGCTGTTTCAATTTGAAACCAATTTATTTAAAGAGAAAATTAAATAATGAAAATTAAAAAACCACACAATCCTCAAATGTAAAATATACATTCCTCTGAAGACTCACTGTCAGCATGTACAAGCATATTTTAATTAAGTGGTGGATTTGCATAATGAGTTCACAAAATGAGAGTCAGTCAAACAGATGAACTTGAAGGCATTGAGTCCATGGTCCTTCTTACCTCATATGCCTGAGAACTAAGTATCTTCATTCAGATTTAGAAAGAAGAGCTACAGCATTTCCCTATCTGTCAATCAGATGTAGTTCAATGGATTTGAGCCATTATTAGAGAGCTTAACTGTGGAAAGTGAATAATGGTTTCTTACAAAGCTAAAACTAGTTCACTGGAATCTCCCAGTGTTATAGAAAGGATACAGAAGGTGCTTCTATTGCACAGAAGGAAGGTTCAGATGCTATTAGAAAACAATGTAAGGTATGTACATGCTAGAGAAAAATCAACAAATATGAACGTGTCGTATGTCTCGAAAGAAGGGAAGAGATTGCAGTAATGCTTTATCTTGCAACATATTTCCATTTTAACATTGCAAACTGTTTTTCAAAAACTGACAGATCTGTTCAGTGTGCTGTATTATTAACATACCAGGATTCAACATTGTGCTGTTTCAAATAATCTGCATTTGGAGGGTGTGGTAATGGGAAAGTCAGTCACACATATTGAAAAAAGCTGAACAAAGTTTCCTCAAACATTCAGAAAGTACAAAACCCAGAGAAAAATGTCAACTTCAAATAGAATTCAGTTTTGATTGAGTGTAAATACAGCACCAATCAAAACTGCTAAGCAGTTTTATTAACTCAAGGAGTTATTCCATAGAAATACCATAATCCATATGATGTCTGGTACAGGTGAACTCAGGTAATACAGCTTCGTGTAAGCACAAAATTAATTTTCTCTACAATGTTTCTAAGTAACTTCTGTGAAACATGACCTTTATAAAACATAAGATAATGGGATGCCTTACAAAGGTTTTATTGTATTGTGGGGTTTGAGAATGACCATTAGCAGCTGTAAGCATTTGAGCTATTAGTACTGAAGCTAATAAAGCATTCTGGATTTTCAGAGAGAACATCATTCTAATGGCTTCTTGTGCTTATGTCTTTTGGCACTTTTGAAAACCCCAGCTAAGGTTTAAAGAATTGACTTGAACTATACATTACATTTAAACATATCAATATGGACATGAATATATGCCCATTCATATATAATTACCAAAGAATACAAGATGGTGTGTTCTTCTGTAAAGATTCCAGAAACGAAGTAGCAATGCCTGCCCTAGGTCCATAAACTCATTTTGAACTCATCATGTCCATACAGGAAAACACACCACTGTGTTAATACATCAGGGACACAATGTATTTTAAATGTAGTACAGCAAAAATATTTTTCATAAAATCATGGAATGATTTGGGTTAGAAGGGACCTCAAAGATCACCAAGTCGAATGATGGGCAGGGACACCTTCCACTGCACCAGGTTGCTCAAAGCCCCATCCAACCTGCTCTTGAACATTTCCAGGGATGGGGCATCCACAGCTTCTCTGGGGAACTTGTTCCAGTGTTTCATCACCCTCACAGTAAAAAATTTCTTCCTAATAACTAATCTAAACCTACCCTTTTTTCATTACAGTGTAATTTTCTGTCCAGGAGGATCTGTTCTGTGATCTTTCTGAGCACAGAAATGAATCTGACTGGTCAATAGTTCCCAGGGTCCTCCTTTTTGCTCTTTTTAAAAATGAGTCTGACATTTTCCTTTTTTTCTGTCAGGGACTTCACCCAACTGCCATGACTTTTCAATTATCATAGAGAGTGGCCTGGTGACTACATCAGCCAATTTCCTTGGGACCCTGGGAAGCATCTCATCAGGTCCCATGGATTTGTTAAGTTCAGTCTCCTCTGGTGGTCTCAAACCTATTTTCTATCACAATTTCCAGAGTCCTTACCTTGAGATTCAGGGGATTGATAGATGTGGGAAGAGAGCTTATCAAGGAAAACTACAACATCTTTAAAACATAGATTTTAAGGCTTATTTTGCTCTTGAAGCCCAAATTCCTTAACACAGTTGGCCACTGTTGACAGATCTTTAAAAAAATGTAACATCCATCAAAACAACATACTAGGAAAGCAAGTAAAGAAGGTCTCTCTGTGCTGTTAGAATAGAAGATAAACTAAACTTTAGGCTAGTTGTAGTAATCCAAACCAGTCATGGTATAAGCTAAATAAGTAGTGTGGATGAAGTCACTTGCCACAGATCCCTTGCTAGCACTTTCCTATATACCAGTGCAGATGTACCCAAAAAGACTACTTAGCTGTAATTCCAAAACTGTCTTTGAGAATTAAGTTCTTTGCTGCATCAAGATGATTTCAGCATGAAAAAAAAGAGTAACATATACACACATAGTTCAATTACTTAATGTAATAATAATTAATATTAAAAGTGATACCTTCGGTTCTTTCACTTCTTCTTTCTTAATAAATGCCTGTGCAACATTTATTCCTCCAGCTGGTTTGTTCTTATTTCCATGGTTAGAAAGACTCTCTCCAACTTGTTTGGTCAGTTTTTGGATAACTGTTTCTAAAGTTCAGAAAAAATTATATAGATGGTTTCCATTCACAAGGAAAGGACTTTACTGTACACCCTCTAGAAATCTTCCACAAAGTAAAAATAAGCAAAAGAAGTCACTCTGAGACAGGGATTGTCTCTTTTTCTGCATTTATATAGGAGAGCATAATACACAGCTCTAAGTCCTACATTAATAGAAACGCATTAGCAAAAACATGAAGTGTACACCTATATATACATACACTCAAGACTAGATAGTCTGCCTTCATTATGTTTTCTAATACAGAAATATTATCATGAAATGCAAAATCATGCACAGCTGTTACAATATCCATACACAAAAGTAGTGAAAAACCTTTTAAAGTTTTGGAAGGTGTTCCAGTTTCTTCAGTTTCATTTTTCTCCATCCCATCCACATCATTTTTGCCAGAAACCTTCTGAAAAGCATGGGCTTTGCTGCTTGTTGGCTTGGACTGCTTCTGCAACATTTTTGGTGATACGTAAGACTGTTTAATGTCATCTTCATCGGCTTCTTCCTCTGAACTGAATGGTGGTGTTCTAAGCAAAAACACATGCAACATGAGGACTTACTAGGTTTCAGTGACTGCATCACTACATATGTATTTACCTTCCTTGTATTTTCCTTTCCAATAACATGTGCATCATTTTTAATGGGAAAAAAACAAGAATCTCCCCTAAATTCTAACTATAAAAAAACCCACCCTATTTAAAAGAAATCACACTGCTAAGTAAATTCAGGAAGTTATTACAAAACCATCTCTTATACAGACATGACTCTTTTCATTTATGCAACCATCTTTACAAAACAAGAGACCAGTATATATAACAAATCTTGCCAGGCAAACTCAAATAGGCCTTCATGGATCAGCAGGTAAAGCAAATTTCAGGGTCAAGGAATCTGCACCACAAAAAGTCTGTTCTGACATTAGTTAGATGAAAATAATATAGGAATTTTTCAGTGCAGGAAATTGCAAAGTAATGTAGCCGATGTGAAAGGAATATGGAATATTGTGTTTAATTTTGGTTGTAGTATGAAAACATCAGTAAACTGAAAAAATTAGGTTAACAAAGCCTCTAAATGCCTTTAAGTGGGTTGAAAAAGCAACTAAGAAAGAAACCAAAGGAAGTTTTAATTGATCTTACTGAGTGTCTCTTTCTTGGATCACAACAAAGACCACAGCTGCTGAAAGGAAAACATGCTACCTTTCAGGGATTATAATAAAACACTCAAATGGAGTAATACTTTAAACCAAAATATGAAATATGCAGCCCAGAAAGTGTTCATGATTTTAGCTTAATATTAACTTTTGTGTGGCAAATGTGAATATTCAGTCACCAAAAAAGTCTTCTTCAAAAAAACAAGGGAACAAAACATACGTGATGCTAGGTGTCTTTGTGGAAACTCCACTTCCAAGAATCTTCCTGGATCTAAAAGTAACAAGACAAGTTATTTCAAGACTGACAGTCAACTAAGCAAGCATAAAGTTTTATACAGAAGTTATCTGAACTCTTTGCCCAATTCTTGTAGCTGGGGGCGGGTTCGGATCCCGGTCAGGGAAACTCCCCCGGGGCAGATGGAGCTCGTCAGCCCTGTAAGGCAATCCATCTAAGAGAAGGTCACTCTAAACAAACCTACATCCTGAGGACCTCACTGCCATTGTCCAAGCTCACTTGGCCCCGGCAGATGAACCTCAGGATTAAAGGGTGGGCTCAGTTCAGCGCACACTGTGTCTCACCTAAAAAATCCACTGCGCAGGCTCGAAGGGTTAATGACCTTTCCCAAATCTTCGCTTGCGAAGACTGGCCATACATACAGTAGCTGGGGAAATGTTCGCACCAGCCATAAAACCCCAAACCTATAGGACTGTTACCTAAGGTAACAGGACCTGAGTACTCTTAGAATGGCATCTCTTACTTTGGTGTAGACGTGTACTCAGTGATGACCGTTCTTTGTCCAGGTGTGCGGACAGCTGGTGAAGACCGTTTTACTGTTTTTTGTGGCGTGGCAGGTGAGGAAGTTCCCAATTGACTGAATTTCTGTTTATCTACAAGGAAAATTATCTATCTCATTCTTAGAAACAATGTCCAGTATCTTTTATATTTAATTTCTACAATTAAAGATGTCTGCTGCAGACTACAGTTTTACAAAAATAAAAAGAAAAAAAGTAATTCTTTTCTTCAAAGCAGTCCTGAGCTACCGTGTGCTGAGTTAAAGAGTGCAGCAATTTGGCAGAAAATAAACCCCCTTGCTTTCCAGCTGGTCCTCGGAGATCAGATGCCTCTTGGTAAGAATCACATGCACCAGGTGTTTTGACCCAGGAAATTAAGCTTGTGACTGCAAGTGTATTGTCAGTGCTATAAACAGCAACTCTGCAGTTAATGTATATATATCACTGGCCATCCGAAGGAACTGCATATGTTGCATTTAATAAACTGTTCTATTCATGAACTCAAATGGCTCCTTTGAATGTGACCAGACCTATACTTAACAGATTGTTCCTGCACTGAGCCTCAGGCCTATAGTTACGCTTTTGCAACAAGATGATGCAGTAACAGGTGCTGAAGACCCCACAGAGGTTATGTATGCACCAGAAAATGTGATGAATGGGTTAATAGCCTTAGGCTTAAACATTCCTATATCCAAATGTCAATGGCCTGAAGGAGGTTAAGTTCCTCAGAGTCTGGTGAGTTAAAGGAACTGCTTCTGACACCCTGGAACAAAAATAGACGATGGGCAGAATCTGTCTAGTGTGAAAGAATTACAGTAGTTAATGGGAACTTCAGGATATTGGTGCAAACATATCCCTGTTTTTTCTATTATTGCCCATCCCTTATACAATTTGCTCAAAAAGGGAGAATCATGGGAGTGGACTGAGCAACACACAAGGCTGTTCCAACAGCTCAGTCCTACACACTCAGTGACCCTACTATAGCAGAATGGGGTTCTGTTAAGAACATGGTACTTACTGCAACCTGTTTCAAACTGGCCCTGATGAACCGAAGAGATTCAGCTTGACTACATTTAAAGAGACAGAAGAGAGATATTCTGAGTTTGAAAATGGACTTATTAGTTCAAGCAGTTAAATAAGTCGAGTCACTAATGGGTAACACGTCCGGACAAACCGCGATGAGACTTGTATTGTTTTCCCTTTCCAGGAATGATACCAGGAATGATGTCAGCACACCTTCACTGAACATCACATCTAAGGACTGCTTATCCTTCTTGTAGGAGCAATTATTACCATCATGAACCAAATCTGGTTCACACATCAGCAAGCTTGACCTGCAGGGTGGAGACCCTCACTTCTTTTATCTATGCTAATCAATATGGTAACTATAGTACATTCTGCACCACACATGCTTCTAACTTGTGAAATTTACTGTGGCAGCAAATATAAGGGAAGGAGATGAGGGCACTTTGCCCACTGAAATTAGAAAGGTAACCTGAAATAAAGTCACTGAATTTGAAAGGGAATTTCAATTCTAGTGGCATCTAATCAATTTTACTTACGATCTCGTTAAGAAGACAGCCACAGCTTTTGTCTTAACAATAGATGATGCTTCAGTATATACTATATATGAAATCATTGTATTAGGATTAAATCACAACAGCACTGTAGTCTATGCATCAGAACACAGAGTAGGGGCCTGAGAGATCAGAAATAAATGGCAAACCACTGATGTCAATGCGTGAGTTGTATGGAAATAACAAGGACTTACTTGTGAAAGTAACACCATCAAAGCCCAAGACATTGTCTTGACACAGAGCAGAATGTCTGTCATTTTGAGATACATCCCAATGATATTTCCAAGACAATAGTTGTATATATTGGAAGAGGATATGTATAAGAATGCTTTGTGATTGTGTATTTGTAGATAACATTACTGTAGATGCATGTAATTGTTCAAATATTTGTCTTTGCAATTCTGTTACAATTACAGGATTTGACTTCAATTATTCAGCTCCTGTATTGTCTTACCAACTGTTACAACCAAACTACACACTAATTTAAGATTTGTTGCCTGTACCTATTGGAATGAACATTACCTTAGTGAAGAGATTGTTACGACATGATTTACAATGACTGTTAACATGAACCTGAGAAAACAGCTGAAAGACTGGTCTCTACCCATCATAATGCAGAAGAAATACATAGTGTCTTGGAATGTGTGAAGATGAATAGCACCAGTGGGGAGACCCCCTTTTCAGATGGTCATGCACCGCTACAGGAATTTTCAATAGGCTACTTCATCCTTTTGTTATTTATACTGACTCTAATATGTTTTGCTTTAACAATATTCATGTATGTAAAAATCTGGCTAATATCCATCTGAAACACCTAAGGTCTGGGTGTGGTGTAATGAAAGGTGTGGGGGGAGAGGTACAAGCAATTGCCCTACAGAGACACCCCAAAAATCAATTATATACAGGTGTGACAGGGGCACCAAATTGAAGGCGTGAGTGTAGTCAACTGGTGGATAATGTAGGAATGAGCCCTACAGCCATGAGATATATGATGAAGGGACTTGCATCAGATATGCCATGAGATGTGTGGCTAAGGGATTACTGTGGACATGATGGCGTGCCAAGCTGGACGACCCTTAGTGCTGCAATCAGCCAGGTGGCAGAGGGATTGATGCTAAGGTGTCACAGTTGGGGAATCTGTGATTGCAAAATGAGACTAGACTTACAGTGTGTGACTTACAGTGCACCACACTATTGGTGCATCTGGGAACACAGCCAGTGTTCAGCACCTAAAGTGCTGAATTGGCTATAATCAGAAATTAAGCCCAGACATACCCAGTCCTTCTGATCTCTGAGGACCAGCTGGAAATCAAGGGGGCTTATTTTCTGCCAAATTGCTACACTCTTAACACACCACCATCTATCCTGCCAACACAGGAGCTAAGGTATTTGCAGTTAAACACAATGTCAAGAACCCTTTAAAGAAAACAGTTTAGTTGGTCATAACTATATAGAATATGTATATGAAAAAACAGGAAAACAGCTATACACAAATGTTGCTAAATAAAAGCTTAAATAGCAGTTCTGAAATGTAAGATAATGAATAAAACCCAAAAAACATTGTAACCTTCCCAAGGAGACTGAAGACACGAAACAGGTCTATTAGAAGATGACGATTTCTCTTCAACCCTAAAGCTAACTTGACGCTCGAGATGCTCTCGAATTCGGTGCATGGCAGGCTGTTGCTTCTCTTTGCATTCTCTAGCATATTCAATAGCACGCAACACTTTATTTAAGCGATCATTTGGTATGCCACGAACACCCTAAGGAAACAAATCGTACTGTAAACACAGGGGCTATTATTTCTGGGATTTATATTCTACAACCATATACACTCTACTACACTTCAGATATGACAAAGCTTGTAGAGAAATCACAGAAGTTGTTAACGCTGCTCACAAGTGCAGCCATATCCTCCGCAGTTGTAATTTGATGGCCATCCTCTCAGGTTAGTGGTTAAGGAATTACACTTATACAAAACATGGAAATTTAGCTTTGGATTTTATAGGTTGAGGACTGTGATACAAGAGTAAAAGAGAATAGGAAAAAAAAGTGGGACAAAGATTACCCTTCTTTTAAATAATTCAAAATGATCTTACTGCTTTAATTCCCAAGGATTCCAGCTTCTCCTCCAGGGCTTGCTCCAAAACAACTCGTAATTCTTTAGTTAAAGAAGGATCAGTCTTCAGAGCATTTATCAAATAGTAGTTACTTCTTCGTGGTTTACAATCACTTTTCTCAGTTTCTGAAACAAGAATGGAAGAGACGTTTAAGAGACGTTTGAAAAATCCACAGTACATGACACAAATAAAAATTGCACTGAAGCATGCACTCTTTAGAAACACCATATGTGCACTTTTTATCTTCATGGAGTTGTATTATTTTTAATATCTTGGGCTAGCTTCCAAAAGTCAGCTCACTCGCCATCTATACCTCAGCACCTTGTTCTCACCATTACCAGTATCTTTTATTGTTCTTCTTACAGAATCATTGTAAAGATATATACCTGAATATTTAGCAACAAAGATCTTTACTTTTAGCACTGTACTTGAAAACTTCTGATAAAGACTGTTGTCCAATAATTAAGTTCTCTAAAAGTGGTATTTCAAATAAAAGCTAGCAGGAATAAGAACAGGAATACAACAAACTTTTTCTCAAGAAAAGCTTCGAGCCACGTTATGTTCTCTGATAAAAATCACCTACTGAAATCAAGTATTTTTAAGGTTGTAACACTTTTAAAACTCTTGGTAAAGACAAAACCTTACTCTGGGGCAGACCTTTTCACAGAAAATACATGATAGATAATAATTGAGGACCAAGTTCAGTGTCGTGTTTTCTTCCACGCAAGTCTCTGACATCATACATACTTAAAAGCAGACAAAGTTTCTCTCTCTTCCCCTGCTTTAAGTGTCAATAATGACATGAGCTCTTATGCAACAAATAAAGAATCATATAGACACATTCTTCCACCTAAATTAAAGACTGACATTTAATTTAGGCCAAAGTATTATAGGGTCACACAGGGGAGTAAAGAAGTAAAACACACCCATTTGAAACCTGTCTATAAAAGTGTCTCTGGCAAAACAAAATTTTACTGAATGCCACTTAAATAAATGAAAAAATCATCTGTGGAACCATGATGGCTGCTGCTGTCTGGCAAAGGGTATAAACATCCCACGAAAGCGCGCCGTAAACCACACTCCCAATTCCCCTGAAATAAAGGGTAAATCTTGGACAGGAGTTTGTCTCTTTGCAGTCTCTTTACCTTACAGGGTAGCAGAGTGATCTGCCAGCCAACAGACAAGGACATAAATGAAGGAGTAATTCCATATTGTGACTTTCAAATGTTTTATTTCAGAAAAAATGTGTCACTTTTCCTATTTTTAAACAATGAGACCTTAAAAAGCAGTTCCATTTACTTTTCTTTTTTTTTTTTTTAAGGGAAAGATAAGCACCCGGAAGAAGACACAAAAAAGCCTCAAGATACACAAATGATATTTAGGCAGTTTTGAGGAACTGGCTTCTGATGGACCCTGGAAAGAACTGTACGTTATGAAAAGAGAGGCCAGCTACCATACTAATAGATCTGTGTCGAAGAGGACATAATCAGGCTGAAATCTCATCTGGTTGGGAACTGTGTGGACAACGCAGTCCCTGATAGAGATGGAATTAAAAGTGATTTGTCTGGAGAGCTGAGGCCCAGAAGAGGCTAACCACTGGTCTTGAGGAAACACAGGGCTATCAGATTATCCCCAGTCAGAACAAGACACATGCAGTACAAAATCCTCCCAGAAAGCCATACATGAGACATTTTAAACTGGAAGGCTCCCAGGAGCCTTTTGAAAATCCTGTCCCTTTCAGATGTTAATCCTTAAAATAAAATAGATACATTTAAAATAATTTTTAAATTCCTAATTACTACATACTAATATGGGTAACAAGACTATCCAGCATTATCCTAATTAATGACAATATTAATTCTTGCTAATTAACTCAAGCCAAATCTTCTTTGCCAGAGAAATTACTTAAGGAACTCTTTTCTTATTCGTTTTTGAACACCTAAATACTAGATTCAACAACTTTGAAGACAAGGGACCTTAAGTCTGGTCCATGTCTCAGCTCCTACATAATCCTAGAAAATAATGTTCTGAGTCAAGAGTTTTCACACTCCCCCTTACAAATGACTGTCATCAAAACCAAAAAAATCCTGGTCTGTCTTTTCAGACTGCATTCTTTCTTTCTCTTTCCTGCACTGCAGGCCATGCCTTTAGGCACAGCAGAAGAATCAAAGACAATCCATCAAGAGAGAAGATGGCAAGCAAGAGAAATAGCAGAAAGAACGGCAAAAATGTAAGTAGTCTTTATTTCAGGTTGTTCAGAGTCACTGGATTTTCCCTGGGGAAACCTCTCTATGCACAGATCTATTCAAACAACAATCTTGTTTTCAAAACAGCATTGTTCCTTCAAAATTTAAGCTCACGGGCTGTAAGGTTCAAGATTGATTTTGATTTTTGCACACAGAATAGGTTTTTATGTTATTCAGCTATTTGGTGTTTCACCTAAAGTACTGTTAGCTGCCTTCAAAAGAATACCATGAAGGATGAACCAGTGCTTTCTGTTCTGTCATTGTAAATGTGGCCTTCTCCAAGTTCTCCTCAGATGAGGAAGAACAGCTGTGAGTGCTGGGCTATGTAATTTCATCACAACCCTGGCTGAAGCTGTGGCTGCTTATGAGCAGGTGCAACTTAGATTACTTGGAAAAGTATCTGTGGTACATTTATGAAAGCTGGCAGCTTCAACCTCCACCACCAACTTCCTTTTACCTGAACTCTTTATCCTCTTATGCCGAGTTTAAAAAGGAAGTGAGCACATGGCAATAGTGTTATCACCAAAAATTTCCCAGTGAGAGTCTGTTCCCCATCAAACATTTTTGCTCTGCTTAGTTCAAGTGCCTTTAGACATATGGAATGTGCCTGCTCTAAAGAAGTTAGCCAGATTTTCATAAAAACACTGAACTTGAATAAGGACTGTAATATTTACAAGCACCAACAGCAAACAGGAGACTGACACAAAAAATGTTCCCACCCAAACCACACAAACATATTGAAATACAATGAAAAATACTGTAGATATCAAATGATACTTTTTATTTCAAGAAACACATGCCACTATATTTTGAGCTGAATCGATCATTACCTTTTTCCTCTTCTGAAAGCTCCTCTATGGGTTCCAGCATATGCACCAAGTGTGCCTGCTCTAATAACAAGGAAGAACAGGAACACCAGACAAAAACGACAGAAGAAGGTCAAGGTCTGGAGTAGGAAAGTCAGGCAAAAACTTTCTTGATTGCTGACAACCTGCTTAACAATCACAAACCCAATGCAACGTGAGTCTTCGCTGCCTTGGGGGTACATTTTTGCAGAGGAGACCCTAATACAGTAGTTGTCCAAACACAGGTGTATCGTGTCATCTCAGATGTATCAGAGCTTTACACCATCATTGCAGTGACTGATATATCACAAAACCATAGAAAACCCCATACCTGTCTGGAATGGCACCCAGAGGCCAGGTGGGATATTTTTAGACATCTACAATGACAGGGCCACCCAGGATTACATAAATCAATATTGCTGTTCATTTCTCATAAGAACGAATTTTTTTTAATTTATTTTAAAATATTGCATGTAATTTGATACTAGAAGTTTAAAAAAGATCAGTGAAATAGACATAGAAATCCTCAAAAATATATGGAAAAATATATTAACTCATTATTCCAGAGAAATATAAAGTACTGAGTCCATACGTGCAAGACAGAGATTTTTTTAATATATATATATATGATGATTTGCAATAAAACCAATTTAAAAAATCTTCAATTACTCCGATTTAGTAAGATTCAGTAGTATTACATGCTTTAAAGAAATCCTGAAATGTCCTCTGCTGAAAACAGCTTCCTAAACACACTGAAATTATCATTCTATGGGCTGTCAGGTAAAATTTGCTTTACAAAAATGAAGTTTATTACAGTTTATTTACAACTTTATAAACTTCAGATATAAGACATTTGAAAATTATTATATGTAGACCAATAAATACTCAGGCTTTTAAAATGTTAATATTCACTTGCTATAAATTAATTTATATCAATGGAAACTAGAACTTGAATGTCTTCTAGAGTTTACAATAAAAACAGATATGCAAACTGTACTTTCAGCATTCAACTACAGACATTATAGGAGAAAACAATTTATTATTCAATATTTTGAGCCAACATGCATTTGCCCCATCTTTCACAAGAAACCTCTTGCACTATAAATCGTAGTTATGCTGTATGGGTAGAAGGGGAGGGAGGAAGTGATGCTGCAGTGAAGATGCTCTTCAGCACTTCTTGTACAATCAGGTACAAACACGGATGTACTGCAATAGGTAATCACATTGAAATGGCGAGCACTTGGAGCTAAGTGACACTCACTGCCACATCTCCAATGTTTGCCATGTAAAGGCGACTAAAAGTGGTGGTATAAATTCTTAGGTATGGTAACTCCACGCTTTCCATACCTGTGGTGATATTCAGCCTCTCACCTGCTTTTCCAAGCCAGTTATCAAACTCCCACAGAAGTTCACTCCCACAGAACTTAAACTAAACAAGAAGTTCTAAGAAAATGCCTCTTATATCATCACAAGATGTTAACAAGATGCAAATACCAATATATCTTAGGGAAACACTTAAAAGCAAAACTCTGAGAGACAAATAGGCTTTGGGAGTCTTTCAGTCTCTAAGGCTGTAAAATCTACCAGTGACCAGAGCATTCCTGGGCAGTGGAACATGATCTTCCACACTACTGCTCCTGGCACTGCTGCCCTGCACCAACTAAGGTTCTCCAAAACAACATTCAGACAGTTTGGGATCATTCCCAACAGCTTTAAGTGCATCTGTTTTGGAGGACAAAGCTTGAAGTACAGATGAAATGTTCTGGGGGGATTTAATTTAGCTGCATGGGCACAAAGGCCTCTGAGTTTCTTGGCTGGACCTACCAGTCAGTAAAACAGTTGCTGTGTAATCAGATTTAATCTATACTTGTTTTGCCTTTACTTTACTCAAATGAAATCTGCTTAAAGGGGCTGACTCATCTCCACACGAGGCCTTGCCAAGTAACTTAATGTAACAGGAAAAGCCCAGTGCTCAGAACTCAGACCTGAAAAGAGTCTGCTGATCTGGCATAAAGGTACACGCTTTTCTTTCTCAGTGTATCAGAAACAAAAGAAATTAAAAATCAGTAAAAGAACAGTTACAAGAACAAACCCAAAATACGTTACTGTTACGTGTATTGTTGTTCATTGCGTGATAACAGAGAAGATCAAAGGCTAAGACATGAGGGAGTGCAACGTCTGAAAACATCAACTTCCCTGACATAAGAAGGCCTTTTCTTTCTCTTTACTAAGATATTAATTAGACATCATGTTGGAATCAAATGTGAGAAAAAGCATCTTGGTTCACCATTACTCTGGTTTATAGACAGGTGTGGAGATGACCGCCCTAAGGAGCCCTCTCCTTATTTTACTGGAGATGTGCTTCTTCTAGCCATCTGATCAGACCTGCCAGCTCTTAGTGCACATCCTTGAAATCAGCAGCATCCAAATATTACCAAGCTTATTTTTAGGAATCACAAGTCTGACTACCCAACTAGACTTCAAATCTGTACACAGCTGTTTTTGCAAACTTCAAACTGAAACACTGCTGATGCAGACTACAGTCCTAAATACTCTGAATTATTGTAACCTCCTCTAGTTCATCTGACTTTTTTGCCCAACATCTCACCAAGCCCCAATCCAATGTTAGCCCTAAGCAAGTAATCACTACAGCTTCTGATTTAAGCAGAGCCTGTTGCCTTCCTAACAATTATCAGCCCTAAACCTAGTTCACCTGACCCTACCATTTACTCTACATCAACAACCTCAATGTCAGACCTCACTGGCCAGGATCTAACTCCTGGCTTTCACCCAAGCCTGAGTGTTGAACCTAGACTGCTTAACTTCCTTTTGGACTCACAGCTAGAAATAAATTACTTTCTCCTAGTCCCTTCTCAATTCCTCACTCCAGCTGAACGCTCAAACTGTCCTTGCCTTACTGGAAGTGGATCCCAGGAGGCTGAAGCCAGGTAGGAGGCATGTTACCTGGTTTGGACTACAGAGCTACTGGTAGAACTGGGGATTACATCAGTCTTGTAGTGCAAATGCAACCTTATTTATACTTTGTTCACTGACACAATTTGAATCCTGTCTCTCATCTCCAGCCCTTTCTTGGCTATAAAATAAATTTAAACTTTATACTTAAAACCTATTCTGTCAGGCTCTGCCACTGCTATCTGGCTTAATTGATCCTTCTTAACTTGACCATGTCTGTCTAAGACTAATGCTAACCCTAACCCAAGCTCAGTGGCAAAAACTTGGTTCAGCAACAACCAGATATCTCTGAGTGATAAAACCCCTTTGCAGATCCTGACATAAATAAACTTATTCTGCTGGGATCGACCACCTTAACTGCAAACCTAATTCATCTGGTCCTCCTCAACAGTCCCACACCTACCCTAACCAAAGACCATTACTGCTAAACCCTATACCTGGCTCAGTGGCAAACTCTAAACACATCCTCTCTGTATGTCATCAGCCAGACTCAGTCCCAAATCAAACCCTACCTTTATCCTCAGAAGAACAATTCCTGTCAGCCTCCGGCTTGAACCTAACTCAAAGCCAGCTTCCAACACCATTCTTAGTGCCGGCTGGCCACACTCATCTCACTGGCCTGAATCCAGCCATATTAATACTAGTCATCATTAAGGCCAGCAGCCTTAAGATGAACTCCACAATGATGTGTCTGTCGTCCCACATCTCCCAGACTATCTATTCTGCCAGCATATGTGTGGAGACATAGATGAGATGTATCAGAACAATAGGATGCCTTAATTTCTTCAGTGGCTAACTGCACTACTGAAAAATTATGTGCCCAACGTACCTTGAAAAATAATTAAATAGCTGTTTTAAAGAATATTTGAAGACGATTTCTATGCATGTGGAATAGGAAAATATATTTAACAATAATGAAGAATTCAGGTTGTGTATATTTCATGCATATCATACATTATGTGTCTGTTCTTATCTACTTGTTTAAAAAAAAAAAACAATATTCTGGCACTACTATTGGAAAAGCAGTCTTCTGGCCAACATTTAAAGGAGAAATCCCGTCTATTTATGCTGATATATGAAATGCTGAAGAACTTTTAGTCTCAACAGAAGTATTACAATTATCTATGGTGTAGTGTCATCTACAGTAAGCACTTTGCACTTGCAATATGAAATCCCTGGATATAATGTAATATTTGTTATAAATTACTTCTCTTTTTAAAGACGTAAGGAATGTAAGCCATGGCTATACTTATTGTATACTCCTTTAATTTATACTCAAATTTCACATCCAAAGAGCCGCCAGACTTAATCTGTGAGACCTGTAATTTGGACCGTCATTTTTAATTAGTGCACTTCATGTATTTTTCTCCTAACTAATCAATGGGAAACCATATACTGCATATAAGCAGCATAAATATTAATTTTAAATCAATATTCTGAAATATAATAAATTTCTTACACTTACCTGAGGCCTCTAAGTTAGGAGCCTAGTCATCTCAGACTCCTTCTACAGACATCGAAGAGACACAGGCAACTTCAAAGAGCAATTCAGATACTAGTTCAGCTGAACCAAACTCTGAAGGTGCTCCTTTTCTCTGTTTACTGTCTAGGAAGAGTAAGTACTTTGACTAAATTTTCCTCAGATGCTTCAGCTATGTCCCTGGTGATAGCTAGGCCTTGGTCCACACCATGTTTGTAGACTAAGACATAGGTTTTAATGGACAATCTCATTAGTAGCTTTGCTTTTTTAACTACTGTCTTCAATTCCACCTAATATTGACCTAACAAAGATTAAATGTTGAACAAGTACCAACATTTCAAGAGTAATATAGGAGCCAAAGCCTAATTTAAAAATATTATTTTAAAAAATTAATCATTATTAATCTGTTGACTTTTTGTGAGACTGAAGTAATCTTTGAAAATAAGACCTAAGTTACATTTGCACAAAACCTACAACTAGCTCAGAAATGGACAGAAGAATGGTCTGCCAGGATGGCATTCAAGGCACTCTACTAGCTCTCACAAGAAATCAGGAACGTTAACACAAAAACACCAGGCTAGCACAGCTATTCTACTACTTTACACCTAAGATATCTCATCTGGGTATCTTTTCATACCACAGATTGAAGATGCGCAGAACAAATATTAGCATGCAAAAAGCTTTGGAGCAGCTTTGAAAAGTGTACTGAAGTTCATCACAGAGCCTTTTCCAGAATTTATTTTCATTCAAACAGAAAAAAAAAAGAAGGAAGATATTCCATATGAAGGCAATTGTTTGGTAGGAAAAGTACAGCTCTTGTGCTTTCCAAGATGACCTGTGCTAAAGAAATTTATCTATAGAAGTTGCCAGGAAATGGTTTCATTTTCATGAGAACATGAAATGCAGCAATCTTAATTCAGTATGTAAGTCAATCTCAATTCCTTGAGGTGCCCTGAAAATTTTGGGAAAGACACTATAACTTCTGCTAACCTTTACATCCAGAAATTAGGTAAGGCAATTTTAAGGAAAATCCAGAAGGGGAGAAAAGAGACAGAGAGAGAAACCTGCAGAGATAAATAAAATAATAATCAGCAAAGGAATCTGAAAGGAACACCTTCTTTGAGGTTTCATAATAAACTGATATTGAATCTTTTGCATATCAATGGCAGGAACAGCATTTTCTATCTTGAGAAGTTTCACAAGATGTCACAAACTTCATATTTGGAACAGCAAGAAATCATGAAAGATTTGAATGAGCTGATTTAAATTGTCAGAGTACAGAAAATATTAACGTTCACAGGACTGTTTTCGTCCTCAGTACAAATGAAAGTAAATGCACTAAGAAAGTAATGCTTGATAAGCTTGGTGGGTAAGTTCTCAGCAGTAACCATCTTCATAAGACTTGTTTCTTAAATTCAGGGCAATAACTAAGCTACTTGCTGTGAGATCTCTTAAAGAGAATCAGCACTACTGTGTTGGTGCAATAAGGCTGGTTTGAATGACAAAGAATTAGATTGTTTAAAATGCTTTTACTAATTCTCTATACTTAATATATCATTACTTTTCTCCACACAACATTTCATCCATATAGTTTAACTTAAAAAGCTTCAAGCAAAGAACTACTAACCTTGCGTAGCTTAAAAAGGAATCTCTGTATTATTCAAATAATGTTACCATATAATTATTAGCAATAATATAATCTATTTTCCTTTGCTTAGTAATTCTTGTCACAACAAGTATTTTGAAATCAGCACTACATCAGTTTTTCATTCCTCATCAAGTTATTGAAAGCTTGATGTATACTGCCCCTTCTCCCCATATGCCTTTTAAGAACTTTGTGTTTTTGTCGAAAACGAAAAATTCTCTACATTTTTCATAGACAAATTTCATTTAGTCTCCCTTTGACATTGGTTTTAAAACTAAGAGAAATAATAAGAAAAACCTGTTATTTAATTATAATTCAAATTAATGAACTGTTTTTAAACATTTTATTTGCCCAAGATTCTTCATTACTTTTCTACTTAAAATGAAAATAAAGAATTAACTGATTGCAGAATATTGGTATACTAACAATACTCTCCATTACTTTGCATGCTGATTAAAAAAAGAAAACTATTTTCACAAAGTACAAAACAGTGTAAATGTAAATCCCTTCTCCCCCTTCTAAATGATACTACAGTGTCACAAGTATAACAAGCATGACAAAATACATAAATAATGACCTACATGTAAGCACAGATATACTCTGGAAGAACTTGGACAGGATAACTGTCTGTTTTGATTATTTCTTCTGTATTTTTACTCCTTGACATTTGAAATTACATGGAAAATACAGTATTTCAAGACTTCTAAACAAACGTCTCCACGTTTCCCTATGCAAATTCCAATAGATGCATAGACCTATCCAGTATATGTATATATCAGATAAACATATTTTCCATAAGAAAACATATATTTTTTTGGCAGTAAGTTTCATATACCTTAATATGCTTCAATATTACATGCATGCTAGGAAATATTCTCAAATTATTTTCATTTGTTTTTCATTTATTCTTTTCAATAGTGCATCCTTTTAATTACTTCATAGGAATTCTCAACACGGACATACTGCAAAGCAATTCAAATTATTTTCTTTCAATATAACTACTGTTAGAGCTATGATTTGACAAGCAACACACCTGAGAAGAGAGTGTTAGATTTTAAAGTACTGGATCTGGACCTATCAAAAAAACTTACCATGCATGTTAACTGGTAGACTTGGTTTAGGTTCTTCAAGACGCTCTACAGTAGTGTTCACTAAAATAGTATAATAGTAAAAAATAATGGGTTTCTATTATTGTAAACAGTAACAGACAAATACAGATTCTTAAATGTAGCAATATTCAATCATTTTTATAAATTAGATAATTTTTGGCTTTAATGGGGAAAAAAAAAACCTAAATAATTTACAAGTAAAAACCAGTCCTTCACAACATTTAAGTACATCTCTATATATGCTTAACATTTTTAACACTTCCAGAATCAGGAAAAGAAACTAGTAACTAAATCATCACTGAACTAGAACGTGATCATCTCTTTGGTCACATCCATATGCTGTCTTTGCATCACAGGGAAGAAGCCTTGGCCCAAACCTACTTAGTCAAGACAAGCCTGACTGAGGCTTGTATTTCCCAGAGAGGATCTGTGGCATCCACACTTCACATCAGTAAATGCAAACTCTACCTATATCATGTACAGAGTGTAGCCTTGTAGTGAATGATCACTTCGATCCTACATTCTTCAGATCATCTTTGGGCCTAGGAGCAAATTCACTTGTGTTCCATGGATTTATACTCATCTGTTCTTCAGCGTGGCTGAATACAACCAGGTCCAGAGGAAAAGCCACACGGCCATACCATTACTATGCTCTCCTCAAACTAAAACTACTCCCTGCTGTGTGACTCAGTTCAAGCCAATGCCTTGATAATACAGCAAGAGGGTTTCCAAACTGGGATTAGAATTAATTCAGCTGCCATTATCTATTGCAATAAACTTACTTAAGTCACTGCAACTGCAGCAGCAACTATACGGGTGTTTGTGGTGCAGGACAACATCCTAAAACACTATTATCAGGTTTAGCTATTTGTAGTGGACTTCAGATGTTAAACCATTGCACAGACAAAAATATCAGAGTTCTTAACATTCTTGGAACATCTGTGTCTTAACTGACAAGTTATTCAGTTTTGTCTAGTCTTTCAGTATTTTCCCTTTTCTGAGTTCTGCAACCTAAGGACAGTCAAGAACGGAAAAAAAACCCAATTAAAATTACACTTCATAATGCAAAGCCGAAAGTTTTTACACAATAAAAATAAAGTTGCCCTACTTTACATTTCTTCACTACTCAAGTGATCAACTTTGTACATCAGAAGCCCTTACAGCTAGAAAACATGATCTTTGTAAGTCATGGCATGGAAACAGGTAGGTACCCTGTAAAACAGTGTTGATGTCTCTATTTTTTAATGAATTGCGACATTTGTTTCAGCCAAGTTGCAGAAATCAGAAACAAACTTTGCTTTTTCTTACAGTATGTACTTACCATCGTATGTTTTAATGCTTGGAGCTGACCTTGTGGACAATTCTTTTATCTAAAAGAGAAAACACAGATACACAAATAGCTATAAATGTCAAGGATCAACACCTAGAATGAATATGTAGCATAAAATACCTAGTTTGAGTACTATTCCATAACAGAAATTATTGGTTATGATTCGGGGAGAGAAATACTACTTCTGTGGAACTCTATTCTACTGCCTAACATGTATTTCACTTGTGCTTAATGAATGGAGTGTTTAATTACACATTGATTTTAAATGCATGAACAGTTCTCCTTTCTGCTCTACAGTTTTGTCTATTTGACACCCCAAGACAAGCACTGAACTGAGAGCACAGGGGAAACATGCTGGCTGTAATTCCATCTATGGAATACAGTAAACTTGTGAATCCTGCATCATTAAAACACTATTCTGCACTCCAATTCCCCAAACAGAAGCAAAACCCAAACCATACACACACATAGTCAATATCAGCTAGAGCTGGCACAAGAGGACCCTGGTCCTCTTCTATTTATCAATTTGGTTATAGCCAGTAGTGCCTCAATTCATTGCCCATTCAGTTTGGATTCTACAAAAGCATTAGCTAATTCTCAAGCCCATCCAGTTTCCAGGAATTAAAATGTAGGCTTTCACAGCTTTACTTCACAAACACTGAACTTGGACCCCTCTCAACCCATTATACATTTGTGGTCATACTGCTATCTTTTAAAAGGTCACTTTACTTCAAGAAATTCATCCAGGATTAAGTCCTCTGTTGCTCCAGCTATCAAATTTGTTAAGGTGGAGATGTAAAAGTTTTATTTGTTTTTCCATCCCTTAAGCACTTACATATAGGTTTAACATTAAACTCAAGAAAAAGGTGTAAAATCAGATGTTGATCTATAAAGAATGCACCATCTAACAGAAGAATAGGTTGTAAAGGCCACATAATCATGCCAAAGTCTACACTCCAGACCATCCAGATCTTCACCCGTCAATCACCCCAAAAAATCTATAGTTATGTTTCAACAAGAGCTTATTTGAAGAAAAAATAATTCATTTCCAAACATAAAATCACAGACTATCTCAGGCTGGATGGGACCCATAAGGAACAAGTCCAATTCCCTGTTCCATCCAGGACTACCTAAAACTTAGACAATATGCCTAATAGCATCACCCAGATGCTCCTTGAACTCTGATAGGCTTAGTACTGTGATCACTTCCTTGTTATCACTGTGATCACTGTTATCCTGTGATCACTGTTACAGTGACCAACGACCCTACTGGTGAAGAATCTTTTCCTAAGGGCCAGTCTGAACTTCCCTGGACGCAGCTTCATTCCATTTCCTCATATCCTATCACCAGTCACCAGAGAGAACAGCACCTGCCTCTCCACTGCCCCCCTTGAGGAAACTGTACTGTGATGAGGTCACCTCTCAGCCTTCTCTATTTGGTTTATTAAACGTGTTTTAACTCCTGGTTTACATTCCTGTGTCCCTTTTCCAGATCTGTTCTTATTTATCAACAATACACTTCCAAAATTTATCAACATAATTTTCAAAACACTACAGCAGTACTATTACAAACTGTGAATATTAAATATGCAACCAGAGATACATCAAACACCAAACGATAGTAAAATGTTTCTCTGTATCCTGAGCTCTCTGAAAAATAGAGTGCTTCACAAAACAGACCTGCTTCTTCTGAGTAATAACCAGATCATTCTGCTGCTGAAGCCTCTGCTCCAATTCTTCTATCTTCCTCTTGTAAAAGGTGTTATTTTTATTCAGGTCTTCTCTTGCTGATGATTTAAGTGTCTCAATCTGTGACAGTAGCTAGAAAGCAATCAGAAGAAAAGTGAGTTCCTCTTAATATTACAGAAAATATTTTAATGCTATGACATTTAAACAAGAAAGTGTCATGCTTAGATATTTTTAACATTTTTTTCAGAAAAAACTTAATGTCTCCTGTGATTTCACTGGGACTTGCACGTATTACAAAAAAGTTGTCTGGATCACTTTTTATTTACACAAGGAAGACTACCTAAATCTCAATACAAAGAAAAGGACATACAAACACATAGCTGAGATTGCTTCAAAGTAAGATTGCAGGAAAAAGCACACAATTCTATAAAAATGTTTTAGTTCTAAGTCGTGTCAAATAGTGATATTTTAAGGAGCTGAGATGCGAATGGGCATAATAAACCTAATATATTAACTCTGAATGTGAAAGAACGGAATCAGTATTTAGGTGCACCATCCCAAAAGTAATACTTACATTACTTCTCCCTTATTCTATTCTTGCATTGTATGTGGGTGTATCATTAACTACATCCTTTTTGGGGAATGTTCCATGGTTCCTCCCCACTGTTTTCTTGCCAGAGGAGGAGAAGCATTGGCCAGACTACTATGATCTGCTCAGTTCTTATATGGTCACGTAGATGAAAGGAAAATGAAAGGAAGAGAAGCAAGAGAAATAAAGCAGCAAAGAGATTAAAAATAAATGCAGACATTAAAAAAAAAAATCTGAGGAATAAAGCTTTGTATAGTCAAATATATAAACTGAAGCAAAATAAAATGCCATGGTGTTTTTTCCTGGAAAAGCTGAACAGATTCTGTGTTAGAAAGCTCCAACAGAAAAAGCATTAGAGAAGTGACAGAAACAAGAAAAAAAAGACTGAGACATATGCCACAGGTCCGTGGTAGCAGCAGGTACAGGGTGGATGAAAGCTACGTGTTGGCAAGTCATATGTCAACTATCCTGCCTATCCACTTAACACTGAAAACACTGTATAATACAGTGCTCACAGCTGTAAGCTCTTCAAAAGAGCTGACAGATTTCTGTCAGATTCCAAAATGATAAATTCCATTTCAACCCTGGCCTTAACTGAAAGATCAAGATCCTACCATAACAGAAACACAGAGATAATAAATACCCTCTTATGAACTCTTGATATCTAACAGATGTACTATAGTATATCAAGAACTACTGAAAGGGTAAGAAAATAAGAAAAATATCTCCTTTTAGTGTAAGTGGTTTGCTGTGTCTCTTACCAGGGATTTTTCTGTCTCGTGGTCATGATGAAGGGCTTGCATTCTAGACGTCCACTTTCTTTCCTGCACAGAGGAAATCAATATTAATTCCTATTAAGAACATATTAACATTTTGTTTGATGTATGAAGCTTTATTTCTTGTTAATAACACATTACCATTTAGTTCAATGTATGCAGCTTTTTTCCTAAATAAAGAATAAATACCAAAAAGATTATTACTGATGATCTGAAATTTGAGTAGTCTAGTATTTAAGGCCTGGAGCAGTCATCAGCAGGTTTTATACATCTGAGTGTGGTTTTCTTACCAAGAACTTTAAAAACTATGTATTTTCTGATTGATTTTTATATGCAGTCATCGTGAGTGAGAAACACACAAGCATTTTGATACAACTCTGTGTATTAAGAGTATTAAGAGTTAAGTGTATTAACAGTAAGAGGGGTCTTCCCCCCCCCAAATAATGTCATTTCAAGCACTCATTAACAACATATTTTGTGTAACTGTGGTGGTTTGAAACACAGTAACAATGGCAAAAAATCAATATTAATATATGGGTTTTAGAGTGAAACAAATCTTCTTTGAGGGAAAAAAAAAAAGTAAAACTAAGTTTTCCACATCTTTGAGCAGAAGTGATTAAACTTATGGATGATACCAGCTGTATGCAAAGACCTTCACATCCCAGAAGCCATGAAATATAAAATGCATGTGTCAAAAAAAAACCCCAAAACCAAAAAACTCCTAGGTTGACAAATCCTGTCAGAAAGTTTCTTAACTTTTTTTTCATCTTGGGAAATGGAATATTCCTGTTTTTCAGTAAGAGGCCTCACAGACCAGCAGATATAAATGCTTTATTAAAGCCTTCTGGAACTGAAGTGCAACCATACTTGGCAAAGCTAGATATAGATAATCATAAAGAATATGAGAATATCAATAAATAAATAAATAACAATTACTTTATTTATAAAGGATAAGGAAAATAAATCCTTGATTGATGTTATAGTATTAAATAGTATTACATCTTTAGAACCAGCTATTTTTGCCACTGAGAAGAATGAAAATTTTACTTATGGATTTCAAATCCTACTCAACAGATGTACAAAAATAAAAAGAACACAAGTAGTCTGTCAAAAGCACATTAAGTTACAATGTTACCTGTTCACCCAGAAGTTTAACCACTTTGTGATGATCCTGGGGACTCTGAGGTTTCTCCTCTGCAAAATCATGGCTGTCTTTCAGTGTTCCTAAATTGGATTTTTGTTGCATATTGGACTTTTGTAATTCTAACAGTTGCTAAAAGGAGGGCAGAAGAATACAAAATTTACTTTAAACAGAGATTGCATCAGATACTTTTCCCATTTCTCATGAGTTCAGCATTTACCAAATTTCATGTAATTATTAATATCTACATCTCAGATAAATATGACTTGTAAAAATACACTGGATCCAACAGCTACAAAATATAAGCTGCTCTGGTAATGCCATGTGTATTTGTTTTCTGACTCACCCATACTTTCATGATTCTCTTTCTAGTGAGCATTTCCTAAGCATATATTGAAAACACATGAATTCTACTGTTGGGACTATAATGCAGAGGTTAGTCTCCTCTATGCCAATTATAAAAACATTCACATAAAGATACCTAACAGACAGCAATCATAACAATATCTACTAATCTATAAAGAGGCATTCAAAGGTTGAGGAGTAAAGAAAAACTGCCTTAGTTGCTGAAGGCATCATTCATTTGTCAAAACTAAGCTATTAAAAAAAAAAAAGAAGAACTGAAATTACGTTAATGAAGTACCAGTATACAAAGATACAACTATGGCTATAATTCAACCATTATTTTAGAGTTTTGTAGAAGAACTTTACAATGACCACATCGCATTTCAAATCTGTGAAGTTCACTGCCATCTACTGTAAGCCTTAAAATGTCAAAAAATTTAAATCGCTTACATTTTCTAAGGTTGAATTTTTTGAATATAACTCCTTAAGCTCTTTCATAAACATCTCTTTCATTTTTTCTATTTCATGAGCCAATCTCTCTCTTTCCTCCTCTTTCCATTTATGAAATGACTGTAGAATTTCTTCTTCTTTTGATTTTTGCTGTTCACATTCCTGAAATTTTTTGAAAAACATTATTTGTTATTTTTCCTCACATGCAACATGAATTCAAGCACCCAAACTACGTGTGGGAAGCAGTTACTTTCGATGGCCAATACTGTGACATTAAAAAACATAAAAACCCCCAGTTTCTGAAGAATTCTAAGGTTCCAAACTATGCATTTTGCTAGCAAAACAAGTATGCTTTCAAGAAAGTTTTGGTAGTTTATTTTCCACTGAATAAAACACAAACGGCCTTACTTGGTCATATCAAAGATCCACCTTGTTCAGCATCCTGTTTCTCACAGAGGCCTTAAGTGCATAGATAGGAAAGGTTAATATTGGGGCAAGCAAACATGTACGATCTCCATAGTCTCCGAGCTGCCAACTGTTTTCAGCTCAGAGGACTTATTCAGCCTGATACAGTTTTGTAAACTTCAATAACTTAGTAACCTTCAATACATTTCTCTCATAAACTTTCGCAGTCCTCCCTTGTGGCTGTATCAGCTTTTAGCAACTGCAACATCTTTTGCCAATGAGCTCCACAAGCTGCATGAAGAGCCAAGTACTTTTCATGTTGTTGTTTGAATCTGGCTCCTGCTAGGTTCATTTGATTAAGTCCTGAATTGGAAAACAGAGTGAATGATGGACTGTTATTCACCCTATGCAACTCGTGACATAGAGGTATCAGTATCTCACCCTCCATCTTCATCAAGCTGCTGTCTCCTTTTCAGACTGACAACTCTCAGCATGCTCAGTCATTTTAATTACTGAATGATCTTCTTCGTAGCCCATCTCCATAACTTTTATAGTTCTATCCTATCCTTTTTTGAGATGAAGGGACTAGACTCGCACACTGTATTTAGGCTGTGGCTTGCACAGTGATTTTCCAGAATAATTGGTAATATTTGATTGTCTTTGTTGGCTGCTACTAACTGCTGGGCTAACATTTCCATAGGACTGTGTATCACAACCCATCATTTTGTAGATGAAGTTAGAATTATTTTTTTCCCATGCACATTGACCCCACTTTATCTGTCAAATTACTTCAACATTCCATTTATCTAGTGACGCATTTTTATATAGTTCTCAACTTGTTTAAAGTCCTGCATTTCACTGTCCAGGATATACACAGTTTTTAGGAAACACCTACATCTCTCCATCACAGTATTCACTCTGAATTTGTTCTCCAACTATAATATGCAATCACTGAATGGGATCTTCTGTATCCTTTCACCTCAAAGGAGTAGAAGGAACCAAAAATAAGAAGCATGGCAATTTTTATACAAATTCCCCTCCAGTACTAGTTGTCCTAAAGAAACCCACACGAGAAAGATTTTCTGCTTTTTTAATCAAAAGACAGTAACATGACACCTGAATTGACAGTGGATGTCAGTCATGGCAGACAAACTGTAACCAGTCACACCTCACATTTCTATCTTCCCTGACATCCTAGAAAAACAGAGAAGTTTTGAAAGCTTCTTGTTGTGTAACAGTGCAGACTGTAGCTTCAGGACATTTCACATAGTCCTTTTGCAGTTAGGAGTCTCAGCTAAGACAACTGACTTCGAAACAGGCCCCTAAGGCACCAAAAAATCTACAATGCACTGTTATGAATACTCCAAGTTCCCTCTCATAAACAAAATAATGCTTCAGGGGCAGTAGAAATATGTTATGGATGTACTTCTCAAAAGTTAGGCACAGAATGAATGAGTAGAATACCTTGCCCATGTCCACATAGGGCCGTGACCCATTAATCTAACAGTACTTGTGCTCAGAAGTGAAATTCTACCAGCTTTTGATTTGTTCCTTCAGTACTTTTGAAAATGGAAAAAAACACACAAAAAAGGAAGCTGAACAGTCCCAAGAAAGGGGGAACAGGAGAACTGAAGAAAGAAGAATCTGAAGCTATGTTCAGGCAAAGAAACACTGCATGTTTTACAGAAGATCAGGGTTTCCTATGAAAACAAGGAAGAAAACAATCATCAGTCATAGAATACTAGGTTGAAAGGGACCTCAAGGATTATCTGGTCCAGCCTTTTTTGGCAACAACACAGTCTAGGTAAGATGGCTCAGCACCCTGAGCAGCTGAAACTTGAAAAGTGTTTAATGTTGGGAAATCCAGCACTTCTCTGGGGAGATTATTCCAATGGCTGATTGTTCTCACTGGGAAAAAATTGCACTCATGTCAAATCAGAATCTCCACAGGAGTAACTTGTACCCATTACCACTCATCTTTCCATAGGACTCCTTGAAATAGGAGTCTACATCTCCCTTGTAGCCATTGTTCAAATACTGGAAAGTGGTAATAACATCTCCGTTAAACCTTCCTTTCAAAAGGCTAAACACATCCAGTTCTTTCAGCCTTTCTCCACATGACCAGCTTTCCAGTCCTCTGATCACCTCTGTGGCCATTCTCTGCATCTTTCCAGTCTGTCCACATCTTTTTTTGTATAGCGGGGACCAAAACTGAACATAGGTTTCATAATGTAATGACAGCCCTGTTTTGTTTATTCCCTTTTAATTCAGAATCATAGAATGGTTTGGGTTGAAAGCGACCTTAAAGATCATTTAGTTCCAACCCTCACTGGGCAGGGACACCTTTCACAAGACCAGGTTACTCAAGACCCCATCCAACCTGGCCTTGGAACATTTCCAGGGATGGCGCATCTACAACTTTTCTAGGCAGTCTGCTCCACTGTCTCACCACCCTCATAGTAAAGAATTTCTTCCTAATATCTAATCTAAACCTACTCCCAGTTTAAAGACATTTCCCCTTGTCCCATCACTACACATCCTGACGAAAATTCCCTTTCCAGCTTTCCTGTACAGACCTCCTTTAGGTACTGGAAGGCTGCTTTAAGGTCTCTCCTTCTATTCTCCAGGATAAACAACCCCAAGTCTCTCAGCCTGCCTTCATATGAGAGGTGCTCCAGCCCTCTGATTGTTTCTTTCAAAATGTAATGGTTGGTTTCATGCTTGAAGGTCCTCAAACTCCATTAGAAAAGCTATTCGGAAATTTTGAGGTTCTCACAGGTTATGCTAACAACCACAAAACACTGTTTTTGAACACGATAGAGGGCAAACTGAAATGCAAAGATGAGCATTTAACTCAATCATGAGATGTATCTTGTCTCTTATGATAAGAACTTGCTTCTCAAACTGAAGCAAAAAGCCCCTTTCTCAAATAAATTTCACTGCTAGCTATTTCTATAGCAAATTATCTGATTGTGTTTACTTAAAGAGAAATGAAAACTGTGAGATGATCTGAAATTATCAAGCTTTAAAAGAATCTTTAAGTTACCTGTTTATTTTTTTCTCTTCAGGAGCCAGTAAGCATACCCACAAGATTCAGTAGCATCCAAAACAAAGTGTTGCACATGACAACAAACAGATAATTACTGCTTTCAAATCATTCTGTTTTATTCACAATAGCAAGACTACTACAGCTAAGAAAGCTAAGACTACTTTCTGCTTTTGCTTTCTGGTCAGCCAAATCCTAAGGATTTAAAGACCAACATGCAAGTTCTAGATTGCTTTGTTTTTTCTGAGTCTCTCTTCCTTGAGCTGCTTTACATCTTTGTTGGACAGTAAAGTTCTTTACAGCAAAGAATAAATTCTACTCAGTTTATAAAGTCACATGTAAAATCACAGTAATTTCTAAGAAACATGTAATAATCACAAAATATCATCATGTCAAAACCAGCTTATATTTCACCATAGTAAGGCAATTTTATCTGCTTCAGTAACAGGCCACACATGTTTTGACCTGGCAAGTGCTAATGGAAGTGCTGTCTAAAGTATTAATTTAAAATATGTTTAAAACAAAAGTAAGGAGGAATTCAATGGTCAAAATTGTGGGAGGCAAGGGAGGGCAATAGTTCAATGCCCAAATATCATCACCGCTTGACAGGCAAGATACATTTTTGTTCCAGTCCAGTTACAAAATGAGCGACCATAGTCCAACATACTAATTCTTTTGGAACATTCACATATGTTAGTACACATTACCTTAGACAACCTGACAATATCAGCCTGTTGTTCAGATTCTAACTGGGACTTGGTGAGCTTCAACTGCTCCTTCAGTTTTTCAATCTCATCCTGCAATTTTTCAGTGTTTGCTTTCCTCTTCTGTTCTGTTTGAAAGAAACACAGATTTTAAAAAGCTTTGTTGCCATTTCTGGAACTGTGATAATTACTGCAAATATATTTCTAGTGTTTCAGTAATATCTTCATGATGTGTAACTTCACTGGACCATTTTCCCTCCCACTAGCATCATTCTCCAAAGATGTTTTTAACTACTTATGTTCTCTGGACTGCTAACTTATCCTCAAATACTTGTACTACTGACATGTGAAATAGTTTATGAAATATTGACATGAAAAAGTATTCTATAATCTAATTTAAAAGGAATCTAAGCAACACAGGTTCAACAAAAAGGATGTACGAAGGACAAAGTGAATCTCAGTTATTCAATTCTGCTAGGTTTAATTTATTCTAAATAACTTTTGTAAGGAGCCCACTTGGAATACAACTAATTATTTATGTGGAAAGAGTTGGGGGAATATCACTGTAACAAAAAAATGTTAAAATATGCAAAAATCATAACAGTCTTCAATCTTATCAATTTACCAAGGATTTACTAGCCCATCATCTGGGAATCTGAGCCCAATGCAGAATATTATTTCAGAAATAACTGCATTGGATATTTCCCTCATAGAGCCATTTCAAGGCTAATTCTTTTATATGACAATTACTTCAGCTGTTTCTGCAGCATTTTCCACTGTTGTTTTTATCAAGTGTAAGGTGCACAAGAGCTGCTTTCTTCTTCCAGTATATTCACGCTTCCTCAGGTGCTTACTCAGACCCCTCTCCTGTTGCTGCTGTTTTATTTGCCTGACAAGCTACAGTTCAGACCTCTCTAGGTTCTTCACACTTTTTCTTCTCCCAAATGCTTCCTAGTTGATTTCTAATCACTGCCATTGTTAGTCCTTAGCAATAAATCACAAGCATGCAGCCTAAAGAATTTAGAGATGAATGAAACTTTGAGAGCATTGTTTTCAAATTAAATTATTTTCCAGAGACTGAAACATGTTGCCCAGTACAATTTGTCCATCAATGTTGCTTGCATTCATACAAACTGTGAGCTGCCACCTAAAAATGAAAACTGAAAATTATTCTTCCAAGTTACAAAAAATAATGGACTGCACATCCTCACTATATTTATACTTTTCTGAACTACTTCTCTTAATTTTTTTGGCAACATTAAAGTACATACCTATCTCAGACTCTCCCGGATGACGCCTTTGAATGTGACTTTGTAAAAAGGAGTAGGTCATAAAAGCCTTTTCACAAAACTGACACTAAAAAAAAGGTGTTAAAAACATATTACTAACATAGTAAAATATAGTGGTTAAGGTTTCTAACACATCATTACATTGTCCATATGTCAAAAGAAGGTAACTTTAATAAATTCCATATCATAAGAACAAGGACTAAAACTCCCATGGTGCCCAATTTCTGTAAAGTTATCAGTATATTAAGTGCTATCTGAAGTCTTATAGTGATGGTCATGAGCAAGAATCTCATTGTGCTAGGCACTGTACAAACTCTGAACAAAAAAGACTCTGGCCAAGCAAGTTCAAATTCAGATATAAACCCTATAAACTATAAGGAAAAAGTAAGACACTATTCAGCAAAATACGCAGACATCAGCCAACTAGCAGCTCAGGTGTTCTTAAGATTCCTGTAATACAACAAAGTAGACCACCATCTAGCTGGAAAAAACTCAGTAAAGATGGGTTTGAGTATACATAAATGAGTTGTAGAATGGCAATACTCAAAGGACCATAGATATTTAAAAAACTCAGACATTTCCATGAAGGGAAGGTAACGGTATACAATTTTGTAAGAAAAGGTATGCAGCTACATTAGTATGCTACCTAGCATCCTTCTGAAGCACAAAGCTGTTTCAATTACTGTTTCTATAATTTACTTACTAGTTTTGAAATTAAATTTTAAGTCAAATTTGCATCCTACCCTTTTTAAAATATCTTTTTTGTTCACCTTCAAAATGCTTTCTACTAATGTTCAGAATATTAAGAATAGATGGGTAGTATAAGGACAGAAGATACATCTACAAACTTTGTAACATACTTGTTAAGAATATGAATGAGGGCTCCTCATCACTTTAGGTAAGTTTGTTCATTACCTCTATCTCATACCTTTTTTCAAAGGTATCAATGCTGGAAGAAGGATTCAGGGAACCATAAGCCTGTTAGTCTGACCTCAGTGCCTGGCAAGGTTATGGCACAGATCATCCTGAGTACAATCACACGACACAAATGACCAAGGGAGCAGGCCCACACAGCATGGGTTTAGGAAAGGCAGTCCCTGCCTGACCAACCTGATCTCCTTTTATGACCAGGATGGCATCCGGTCACTACTGGTGTTCCCCAGTGCTCAGTATTGGGGCCAGTCCTGTTTATTATCTTTACTATTGATGTGGATGAGGGGATCGAGTGCACTCTCAGTAAATTCACAGACAACACCAAATTTGGAGAGAATGTTGATCTGATGGAGGGTAGGATCCCTGCAGAGGCATCTGGATAGGATGGATCAATGAGCCGAGGCCAACTGCATGAGGTTCAACAAGACCAAGTGCTGGGTCCTGCACTTGGGTCACAACAACCTCACACAGCGCTACAGGCTGGGGGAAGAGTGGCTGGAAAACTGCTCAGCGGAGAATGACCTGGAAGTGCTGGTTGACAGCTGCTGAACATGAGCTGGCAGTGTGCCCAGGTGGCCAAGAAGGCCAATGGCATCCTGGCTTGTATCAGAAATAGTGTAGCCAGCAGGACTGGGGCAGCGATTATCCCCTTGTACTTGGCACTGGTGAGGCCACACTTTGAATCCTGTGTTCAGTTCTGGGTCCCTCACTACAAGAAAGACATTGAGGTGTTGGAGCGAGTCCAGAGAAGGGCAATGGAGCTGGTGAAGGGTCTGAGAGATAAGTCCTATGAGAAGCAGCTGAGGGAGCTGCTGTTGTTTAGCCTGGAGAAAAAGAGGCCCAGGGGAGACCTTACCATTCTACACAACTACCTGAAAGGAGGTTGTAGCCAGGTGGGGGTCGACCTCTTCTCCCAGGCAACTAGAGACAGGACAAGAGAGAGGATTTATACTCAGGTTGTGCCAGGAGAGGTTTAGGTTGGACATTAGGAGGAATTTCTTCATGAAAAGGGTTGTTAAATATTGGAATGGACTGCCCAGGGAGGTGGTGGAGCCACCATCCCTGTAGGTGTTCAAGAAATGAATGGACATCACACTTTGTGCTATAGTCTAGTTGACAAGTGTTGATTGGACAAAGACTAGACTTGAGGATCTCAGAGGTCTTTTCCAAACTAAGCGATTTTGTGATTCTGTGAAATTCTCAGATTTCACATAATATTTAAATTGCTTCTACTGGTAATCAGGTATCCTATAAAATACATCCTTCAGCAAACACTAAAGCCATGAATAATTAAGACAAATTTCGTTGGACAAATGCAAACAAGTCCTAATGTAAAACCCAAGTGAAGTGATATAGTATGGCAGCCTTACTGCCAATCAAGAGGGAGCTTACAGTGTAACAGATTGCACATGATTTATGGAATGAAATTGACTGTGAAATAATGTTATCCATTCAACCAAAAACTCATGTCAGTTTGACTTGCTGGGAGTGAAGGAAAGCTTTTACTGCAGGAATCAGGATTAACACAGGGAATATTTAAGTTTTGAATAATGCAGCACTTTTCTTGTAACTACTTTTTACAGTGTTAGCCACAATGTGCACTTTATGCCTACGTTGTACACGTGAATATAAGATTTCTTAGCAAAATATCAAAAAAGTGAAAAATGTTATTTAAAATTAAATTTGTATTACTCAGATCAAGGTATTGACCAACAAGTCTTAAATTTATGACTTGTAGGTACTGGTATCATTTTATAGTAGTACTTCATGGTTAAACTTATATTGGTGGTAGATTAAAGGCATTACATCTGAATTCCAAAGCACGGTTATATTAGCTATAAAGTGCACCTCCACTAAAAAAGGACAGTTACTATTTACAGGCTTATTTGCAAAACATCCAAGACTTTGAGGGGATGGAATCTGAACTATCCTCTCAGGAACACCAGTAAAATCCCTATTATCTGGCACTGCAGATCGGCCAAGATCAAGGCGCAGATAAATATTACACAACTATTGTTCACTGATCACACTGTTACCCTGCATTTACGAACACCAGGAAGAATTTAGTTTAGGTCTGGCATTCACACTCAGAATCCTGAAAACACTGTAGGAACTTCAAGTGTTCAATCACTCCCTAAACTCACTTTTCCTAAGTGAACCTAAATAAGTTCTAGAGACAAGAAATTACTAACAGAGGGGAAAGAAAGTGTGTGGGGGGTAGAGCGGGGCAGAAGTTTACTTTATATGAAATTAAATTACAAATGGGAAATAGGTTTCCATCTCTTTTTTACTGCAAACTCACTGAACAGAAGATAAGTGATGAAACAAGTTCACTACTATGTTTTTCAGCTTCCACAGAGACATACTACAAATATTTCAGGAACACTTGATGATATTTGGCAATCACAGCATGGGAATTATTTCAGTTTACATATAAAATGATGCATGCAATCAGTTTTGTTTTGCAACACAGGACAAACTGCTCTGTAAGTTGTATAAAGGTTTTTTAAAATAATACCACATCAGCAGCTTGTCCTTAAGACTAACACTCAAATGCATGGAGACAAGGCTCCCATGAACCCTGCCATATTCATAGTTCTACTCTTGGGGCATAAGGTATCTTTTCCCTTAGAGAAACACTTGATCCAACTTAGCTGATGTCTTACAAAATTAAACTTTGCCTATAACTTTAAACACACAGACACAAAGAGCTAGCCTGAAATCATGTCAAGTCTGTGTCCAGTGTACTCTTTAGACTTCAGACTACATTTGAAGCTGTAATTTGCTTTCCTGAAATCTGCTGGAAAATGCTAAAGCTGAAAAATATTTAAACTGAACTATTACACCCACAAGACAAAAATCCCTCCCAAAAAAACAAAGTGCCATGACACTGACAGAACAGCAGTGTACTAAGGCTCTTAGGGGAGACACTTAAGGAACAGATTGTTGTCTACAACACAGATTGTTGTGGAATCAGGGATGAGCTATGTCACTGGAGCTCTTTACCATCGTGCCTAAGTCACCTCTGAGTCACACACAAGCAGAAACTTTGTGTCTGGAGAACATCAGTGCAAGAAAGTGACTGCTCACAGACAGTATGTTACTGCTTAGCATCAGTTCTGATGTACTTGCCCTGTGTGTTTTCTGACCACGTAGCTGACAGACAAGGAAAACCAGCAAGAGATGTCAGTAACACGTTTATCACAGGTTTTGCATGTGTGTGTATCTGATGCTCGAGGTGGACCAAAAGTGAATCCAAGAATAAAGAGCACTGCTTAGTAAAAAGAGGATTTGTTAAAGATGATCTATTGCAAATGTCTGTGATACCAGCCAAACACCTGTGAAACGCGGATGGGAAACAAGTGCAAGCCACGCATTTCCTTTTGTAAGGCCACTGGTCCCGGAAGCTCCAGTCTTTCACCCAGCAAGTGACTGCACCCCAGCAGAGCAGGACCACTCTGCCACTCAGCAGAGTGCAGCAGAGTGCCACTCCCAGCAGGCTCAGAGTTGGCAAGGTGCGGGTGACTGGGCCACCAGGACCTCTCCTCTCACCTGGTGGTAGTTGGCTCGGGCCTCCAGCATCATCTGCTGGGTGCTGATCATCTTCTTCCTCCGCCGGCACTCCTCCTTGAGCCCCTGGATCTCCTGCAAGCGCTGGGCCACTTCCTTGCCCAGCTGGTCGCGCTGGGCTTGTGCCTCTCGCAGGGCCTCCTCCAGGCTGCCGAGCTGGGCGCTGAGGTATTCCTGGGAGTGCAGCAGGTACTCGGTGCAGAGCTGCGCCAGGCGCAGCAGTTTCAGTAGCAGCGGGTCGGCGGGGCCCTGGCAGTGCGGGCAGCGCTCCCGCTCGGCGCTGCAGAAGGTGACGTGCTCCAGGTGCACCTGCAGGGCCGCCACGTCCCCCTCCCGCGACACCCGCTCCACGTCCACGGCGCTGAGCCGCCGCCAGTCCGGGGCCTCGTGCCGCGCGCGGAACTGGAACGCGGGGAACGCCGCCGGCGCCGCGCCGGTCCCCGCGGCCGGAGGGTGGTATGTGCGCTGGGAGAAGGGCTGCGGAGAGAGACACGGATCAGCCCGGGCCGGCACCCCCGCCCCGCCGCCCGCCCCGGCGCTCACCATGTCCGCGCTCCGTCCCTCGGGCTCCGCTCGGCGCCGGCGTCCTCCGTGTCGCTATGGCAGCCCCGGCCTGCGGGAGAGGCTGCAGTGACGCCGGGATGTGCCACCGCTCCCCTCCCTTCCCCCCCCGGCCCTTCGGCTCCGTGCTCCGCACAAATCCCGTCCCCTTCCCCCTCCCGCCATCCTCTTCCCCCGGCCCCTCCCCAGCCTCCTGGCTGTGCCCCCGCTCAGCAGCCACCTCCTCTCTCCCGCGGGTCCCAGTGCTCGTCCTGCACCGCGCACCGCACGCTCGCACCAGTGCATCCTTGACCATCTTCACACGCTACTCGCACCAACAAACATCCTCGGCTACGCTGTTACCCATGTGCACCCTTAACACAGCTACACAGCGTATGCTTTCTCTCTCCACATTCCCTTCACTTCTGTGAAATCTATACATATCACCCTACAGACACATTTCATTGCATCAAGGTGCCTCCCCACCCAACACCCTGTGTCTCCTCCATGCTGTTCCTGACTCAAACCTTTCTCACTCCACCATAACATTACAATCCCCTATCCCTCTGCTGTCCTATGCCCTTCTCCAGCCTTGTCTACTCCTCTGTCTCCCAGATGTGATGATACCCATCGCTTCTGCACCATCAGCATACATACATATACCATTTCTCTATTCATCTGCTTCATGCTGCTGCACCCTCACATGCCTCAGCTGGTAGCTCCATGCAATCTCTCCAGTGCAACTCCATACCCCTCCCAATGCCCACACACCAACCTCCTGCCAAGTTCTTTCAAACACCTTCCTCACTTAATACAGTCACACCCCCTTTGCATGCCACTTCCACATGCTCTCCTTACTCATCACACCAACATGCCTCTCTCTGCCTGGTATCACCACATACCAGACCACCTCTTACAACCATATAACCCTACAGCCTGCCATTCCTGCCTCACTCTACTGATTCCAAACACTTCAGCCCCATGAAGCACCTCATGGCTTGCATACATCACCTACTTCACCATTTACACCCAAATACTTTCCTTCAAGGCAACCAACAACTGCTGCTTATATCCCTGTCCCACCACAATTTCCAGTACTCCCCAGTTCAGCATTCCCATTGCTCCTGCTTAGTTGCTTCAAATAGTGTTCCCAAGCAGAACCATCCTTCTTCTCTATTATACAAAATTACCCTGTCCCCTCACTCATCCTCACCACTCGTCTCCAAAAGCCTGCTCTTCCTGTTACCATTTCTTAATATTTCAGTTCACCTATGCTACCTCTGCCTTACCACCATGTTCCATGTTTATACCTCCCTAACTTTTCAGTCTCTTCCACACACACTTTAGTTTCTCATCCTCCTGGTCATTCCTAGATAAATACCTCTCAAAGAACATTCACACAACATATATCTGATCATACCATCATGCCACAGGTTCCTCTACATCATGCATCATAGACTCACAGAGATGTTCTCAAGGGACCTCTAGTGATCATCATCCAGTCCAAATTTCTGCTGGACACTAGTTCACATCACCTGTGGCATTTAAGATGAACAAACAGTCTATGATCTTTCCAGACAACCTGTTGCATGGCTGTGCTCTCCTGACAAAAACAATGTTGTTATAGGTACTAATACAAGGACCCTCACAACTTACCAGCTCTTAGTTTTATGTAGGTTTTTATGTTGGTTTTTGTGCCAAAAAGCTTTTCCCACATATATGAATTGATGCAACAAAATACACCTGGCCTCATTTAATTCCCCCATCGTAGCAGACAAACAACAGGAAAAGAAAAAGGAAAAGTTATTTCAGTTGGAAGAGACCTATGATCATCGTCTAGTCCAACTGCCTGACACTTCAGGGCAGACCAAAAGTTAAAGCATGTTCTTCAAGGGCACTTGTTACGACCCACCCCAGAAAAGGGGGGGAATAACCCAGGTTCTTATTAATAAATCCCTTGGGGTGGATTAGAGTGAAATGACACTGAATAATCGGTGTTTGAAAACATATATATGTAGGGTTTATTTTAGAACAATTTTGTTTCAAAGATAAACAGGTATGTTAGCATTTTGGGTGTTATCATCTATATCTATCACCTATAGTAATATGGCATAAAGATAACCTTTGGTGAAAATGCATAAAGGTGAGAAAGACAGGATAAGGGTAAAGGAGAGTAAGGAAAAAGAAAAGATGAGAGTGGAAAAATGTATATAGTCACCACCCACTGGATCCAGCAATGGAACTTGATAGTCCTAAAAGTGACGGTCTTGATTTGCTGGCAGTGGGGGAGAAGAAAAAAGCCAAACCCCCAAAGAAGTTACCAGTTGATATATACTTCCAGAACGCTTTTGCACCTCCCCCGGGGCGGGGAGTTTTCCATGGAATAGTGTCATGGGCCATGCCATGAACCCCAGTATTTTTTCCCACCTTTCAAGATTGGCAGAGGGGGGGATGGGCATGCCACGAACCCTCAACATCTCCTGGGCCCTAGTGTCCATTCTCAACCTCCCCGGCACATCTCTGAACCATTCCCGCACATCCTATCACTGGATCCCAGGGAGAATTGATCACTCTTCACTCCCCTCCAAAGGAAGCTGTAAAGAGCAATGAGGTTACTCCTCAGCCTCCTTTTCTCAAAACTGGACAAGCCCAGAGTCCTCAGCCACTCCTCACAGGACTGGCTTCCAGCCCTTAAACCAGCTTTGCTGCCCTGTCCTGGACACATTCAAGGACCTCACATCCTTCTAAATGGTGGGGCCTAGAACTGCACACAGCACTCCACCTGAGGCTGCACTAATGCTAAAAATAGAGTGATAATCACCTCTTTTGACTGTCTGGTTATGCTCTGTTGGATGCATGCAAGTGTATACAGCCAACTCACGGTCAGGGCAACCCCTGGGACTGTGGTGGTCCCCATGAGCTCTGCTCTCTATACACACTGACTACATTCTGGCTCGGTGTCAAGAGGTGAGCAGGCCGTGCATACCTATTCCTCCTGAAGGAAACTGCCACTTAGAAGACTCATGCTCTGACAGGGAGGAATGGGGCTCTGTTACTGAACACACGCAGCAGAAGTGTCTTCCTTGCAGTCAGCACACCCAGTGTGCATCCCAAAACCACAACCACAGGACACACCTTCTGGTTCACAGCACAGACCCAAGCATTTCCTTCAGCGCTCAGCTACCAAACCCCTACCCCAGCCAGTACCAAAAGACTCAGATCAGTCTCAGGGCGAGTCCGACACTCAGGGTCCAACTTTTATCAGTCTCCCCCATTCTTCACACCCACATCCACTCCCCACATAAAAGAAAATATGGAGGAGATTCTTTTCTTTCCATATCCACAGAGAACCACAAAGACCTCTCTTCTGTTATATTTGCATATTGAAAAGTCACACCCTTCCGTTTTCCCCACTTTTATAAAAAGTTTGAAATCAACCTTTCCAATAATACATCTAGGCCCAGCACAAAGTTACATTAATTTACAAAATGAATTTCAATGTATCAGAAATACGAACAGAAAGGTTAATAACATGAACTCAGGACAGCAAACCGTCCTGCTTGTTGGCTCAAGCCACCCTGGTAGGTAATGCTCCAAAATACTGTGGCACTACAACTTGTTTTTGGACCTTTAACCTTAAGGCTACTGGCCATACTTTACTGCAATACCTGAAGTCCAGTTCCATTCATTGTTTTAAATTTAGAAAGATATTGTGTGGTGTTTGCAACATTAAGTCTTCTCCTGCAAGGACGACATTTTTGTCACCTCCTTTTTCATGAAAAGGGTCTCCAGCAAATTTCTACCTTCAAAGAAATCTATTTAACATTTTTTATATGTATCGAATATGGATCTGAACTTTGCACTGCTCTAAGTCCTTAAGTAAGAATATACACTGTTAATCTTCTTCAGCACTATTCCTAATATACCACATACTTCCATTTACTGTAGAAATACATTTCTGTTTCTAAGCAGCTACATTAAAAAAAAAAGCTCAAATACTGACTACAGTCCAAAATATGCATGCCTCAAATTCATTAAAACACTTTGAAAATATGTATTTGAATATTTTTTCTAGTCAAGGGAACTGTTAAGTTGCACATAATGAAATCTAACTCCTAAAGATCTGAGCCTAACATATGCTCCACCTATTTGACATAGGAAAAATTTCTTTACATAGAAAATGTGAATTTTGCAAACTACCAATTTGTGTGTCAAGCAGAAGGAGCCTGAATAAGCACACATGCAATAAGGGCCTTTAATTGACAGATGCATGGATTTAATAAGAAAAAAAAAAAACCAAAACCAACCAAACCCAAACACCCAAAACACTATTTAAAGCCAGCAAAGTAAACCAAGCCTGTGGATACGCTTATTTTCCTCGACCAATGTATTTAGTGAGGAATATCCACACAGAGTTCCATGCTGTTCCAACTAAACCTGCTTTAACTGAATGTGACCTCGCAGCGGTGCATCACGAAACTGAGGAAAGGCACAGGCCGCCCAGGTATTTCAGCGGAAGTAGAAAGAGTACGTACGGACTCACACAGCCCTTTTCGATTTCATTTTTCCCTTTCTTTCTGCCGGATTTACTCCATCCTCGGAGCTGTGCCCATGCGGGGTCCCCTCGATCAGGGGTGGCACCGCTCCCCCGGCCACCCCTCTCCGCGGGGGCGGGCGGCACCGAGGTGAAGCAGCGCCTTCCCCCGGCGGTGCCTGCGGGCCAGGCCTGGGCCTGGTGCTTTGAGAGGCGGCCGAGCAGGCCGGGCCTGCGGGAGGCCCTGAGCCGGGCTCCAGCCTCCTGCCAAAACCTCCCGCTCCGCTCCGGAGCGCGGCCGCCTCCCCGCCCCCTCCCTCCTGCCCCCGGGGAGAGGCCCCGCCGGGCGCTGCCCTCCCGTCACCCTACAGCGTCCGGGATGGGGGGAGAAGGGGAGACCCCTCCGCTCACCTCGGGCTGCTGCTCCGCGGGGCTCGGCGCCCCGGTGCGGGGCTCGGAGCCGGCGGGGCTGCGGCCGCTCCCCGCCCCGGCCGTTACCGGTGGTGCCGCGGCGGGAGAGGGCTGCGCCCCGCCGGCCCCGTCCCGCGCCGCTCCTTCTGCCCCGCGGCCGCGGGCGGCGGCTGCGGAGGGACCGGCGGCCGAGGCAGGCGAGCGCTCCCCCGCTGCTCGCCGACTCCTGCTCCTTGAAGCCTGCCCGGCAGATGTTGGTGTCCGGGAGGGATGTCCTTTGTCTCGGTCCCGTCCCGAGCCTCTCCGACCAAGAAGCAGCCTTTCTTCTTCCTTTTTGTAAAATACAAGGGAAGTTACTACAGGCTTTGGAAAGGCTGCCTTTAGAAATTAAAGGCACGCAGTCACCCAGGACGACACGTTTAAACCTGTGGAGCAGCGAACTCCTCAGCGGGATGGGGAGTCCCCCGGCGGCACGGCAGGGCAGCGATGGGCCGGGAGGATCCCGCCTGCCCGCCGAGCCGGACGGGGAGCTGGAGGGCTGCAGGATCCCGCCTTTCTGCCGAGCCAGACGGGGCGCCTTAGGGACTGAGAGCATAGGGCTAACTCCAACGGGAGAAGGTGTGGGTCTTCCATCAATGTTTTCCTGACTGTGTGCAGGAGAACACCATGTTCCAGTGCGAGGGTAAGGCCGAGAGTATGCTTAACCAAAGTAATGTCAGGTAAAGTTGTAATTTTCAGTGTATATATGTATTGTATCGTGCAGGTAGAATCATTCCAACACCTACAGGTTACATCAGATCCTACTAAGTTTATTCCTGTAAGGGTTTTGAATTGTATTTTTCCATGATAAATGGTGTGCAGCCTTTGTAGCCACAGGGAAAATTTCAAACAGTTTGTATTTAATATAAATTATGTTGGGAAATTCAGCAGAGGAGGTAATCACTGCACATTTACAACACCTCATCTTCCTTGAGTAGTTCCATTTGGCCAGGGAGACACCACTGTGTTTTCCAAAGTACACAGATTTACTGAGACACCAACTTTCCTTCCTGAACCATGAAATTCTGTTGCACCAGTGTTGATGTGGGCACATACGCTGCAAACACCAGCTTTAAGAAAGAAGTAATCGTTTGGGGGCTTCAGCTTTTTGTGTCCTAAGAGTACCTCGGCATGCTCCAGTCAGTAATGGGCATTCAATCCAGAGGAACAGGCTAGAGGTACTCTGAAGGAAAACCTGAACATATGTGAAATGTGGATGTCCGGTCCTCAGTACTAGTGACTTTTGCTTCAGCAGATCTGCTGCTGTTGGTCTACTAAAGCAGGCATTTCCAGAGAAAGATGCTTTATCAAGGCTTTAGTGTAGTAAAGCTTAATTAAGAGAGGACTTTGAAAACTTGTCTGACAGTCACAGCTTCCATGAGTCAGGCCTAGCGGCAAATATGCAATACAAGTTGATGAGCACGTTATGTGAATGGTTCGAGCACTCACTTAGAAAGCAAGATGCTCAAGTGCAGTCCCTTCTGCGCCCAAGAAGTTTCATACCCCATACCCCTCTTAAAATGCCCTAATGACAACTTCATAGTCTGTTCAGCATACCTCCCAAGGATCTCTTGCTGCAAAGGTAGATTTTATATCAAACCAAATGCTAACTGTGTAAGAAAGTCTTGGAGCTTCTCTTCAGTAGATGAGGGGAGGGGTGTATGAAATGTGCAGAAATATGTGGATCTTAGTTGCTTACTCTAGTATCTGTTTAATATAAAATACACAAGTAGGCCTTGGAATGAGAGCTATAACCGAGATTTCTATGCTGTAAAGGGAGGGCAATCACCCTGTCATTCTTTCACTCTTACTTTGTTCCAGAGCTTGATTAATCTTTAATTACTACCTGTGAGTGGTACAGCCTCACTTGGCAGGAGTGGGTATTCTTTAACCCACATTAGTGCCAAGTTCTTCCCTTATATAGCTTGGTGACAAAAGTGCTCTCCTAAAACATACATGGATTTACTAAGAGGAGACCAAGAGCATTTGCAACGTATTTGTGAGGCTTATAGAGGGTACCTGCAAATGGAGAACACAAAAATGAGAGAGTATTTTGATTGTGGGGTGAAATACAATGACACGTTGGCCATGGCTATTTGGGAAATGTCCGGGGTAACAGGGGTGTCATCCAGGGCCCATCCCACCATCCAGCCAAGAGCAGAGCAGCTGAGGTGGGGGAGCACCAGGGTGAGCCCCAGCCCCAGACATCAGGCACCTCCCTGTGGGCAGGGATGGGCTGAGGCTCGGTGAGGCCCATGGCTGGGCAGGACAGGGCTGTGGAGGGCTGGAGACTGGCCTTTCTGCAGTGTCGCTGGGGCAGGGGCTGACAGCTCTGGGGGGCTGACATGGTGTCCTGGGCCCTGGACAGGTCGGGGGAGGCTGGGCAGGGGCAGCCAGGCCTGGCGGTGCCCTCGGGGCACTGGTGGGAACTGTTAAATGGAAAAATTATATGGATGTTTTGTGGTATGGAGGAGGATACCATACATGTTCTGCAAGGTGTTTTAATTTGAGAGGACAGTGGGAAAACTGTCCTGGGGACTGAGAAATAGACTCTTCAGTAATCTCTCTCCTACAGCACTCTCAGAGTGATGCATACAAGTAATCATTAACTCTGGAGAAAATTTGACTTCAACTAGCTAATGGTGCAGGTATAATAATGAGTCTAGCCAGATTCTAAGTTTATTGAATCTTTTCCTTCCTGCCAGCTCCTGCCATGGCACATTTTTCAATTTTCAAGCAAGCGGCTTTGTGGTGCTTAGTTGCTGGCTGGGGTTAAACCATGACAAATGCCTATAATACTTCCATTTGTTCAATCTTTCCATCTCTTAGTTTACTTGAGGAAACAATTTATGTATTTTTATCACAGGAAAATAAAACATTTAAAAGAAAGGTGGAATGAGCTACTCTTCTGTCCCCTCTGTGTCTTCTTTCCAACAAATGCTACCAGCTGTGATTAAGCAGTTTGAAGAGATGCTGCTCCATATAGTTTAACAAATCTTATTTTCAAGTTTGGGTACCTCAGACTCTTTTACAATTAAACCTTCTTTTCTTCAAATAAAACAGTTTCTTTTAAAGATTTGTCTTCACATAACAAGTATTGCTGGATTTTACTGAGACAGCCATGCAGTTCATTTATCTTCCTTTCTTCCAAACATGGAGGGAATTCAGCATAACTATAAAGAAATGTATGCAAAGACACTGAAACCACTGATACAATTGGAGCAATAGAAAGGTCACAGAACCAAGGACTTGGTTTTTAACACTTAGCTACCTCTCTGTTAATTTTTAATGGCATACATTAGATATTTGTTCTTTTCTAACAACTGCATTGCACTTTTTCCCTGGCTGGGCTATAATAATTTTTGTGGGCAAGAAATAAACTGTATGAGAAAGGAAAACAAACCACCATCTCTCAGAACCGCAGTCACAAAGCATACAAGGGCGATGTTTCACCTTTCTTTTTTTTTTCCCAAATGTTGTCAATTCCGATACTCAAAATTTAAGTATATGCCTTGGGACTTTGTGTCTTTTGATCCTGTGTTGTGTGTGTAAAAGAGGATGCTAGATGGCATCACATGACAATGGCTTATGTGCTTGTGAAACTGTGCATGAGGGGTATTCTGTTGTCAGTGGCTTGAGAGAACAATGGCTTGAGAGATGCAGGAAACATCCACTTAGGAAGGAACAGTATGGAGGTGTCTGCTGGAGCAGGCAGTAAGGTTGCACACAGACACACTCTGAATTCTAGTCTAAATTCTCAAGTGTGAGCTTTGCTGACTTGGTGTTTTGACACAAATAAAATAGGAATGAACACTTTCAGTGATGGCACAGTACTTTGACAATGATATTTTTCACAGTCTTTAAAATCAAAGAGATGTTCAAGAGAAACAAACAGCTTGCAGTTACCACATAGATTTGAAACTCAGAGTGGAGCTGAGAAAAATAGATGTAATTAATGATAGGTAAGCCAAAACCAGTTTCAGGGAAATCAAAAGTAGTTGTGAAAATATGCTGAATTTCAGAAATCGCTTCAGTCAAGAAATGAGGATAGTTCATTAATGTTAACATTTTCCATATATTTTCAAAACAAAATGCTTTGTTTCAGAAAAATAACGTAACCTAGTGTTTGAAGCAAAGTTTTTTGACTTTCAGAGTAACATTTTAATTGAAAAATGTTCTATACCCTAAAAAAATAAAATACATGTTTTAAAAGGGACGTGTTTTCATAATAAATGAAATATTTTGCTCCCTTGCTCTAGGCATGACTTCACACTCCCTTTCAAGCCCATGGACAAAGATCAGCTTTTTCAAGTGCAAGTTCAGAGCATGTAGATTAAGTTCTTGTGCTGAATTTAGGAGCCTTTCTGCTTCCATTTATTGCAAAGGAACCCAGAAAAAGGAATTTCCCCAAAGTCCTCTTCTATGAACACCAATGCAAATGTGAAATTCCCAAAAGACATGGCTACATAAACAAGAATCCCACGTTAACCAGATGTACATTACTATTTCATTTAGCTCCACTGCAGCTACGTTTCTGACAGGGATGTACATACATGAGAATAAAAACGAGGTGTAAGGACTGAAAGACCTGTTACAAGAAGATGTTCTGAGAACAGAGAATAGTATCTCTGTATTATCATTCTCTCTTGCCTCCTCCTTTGTTTTCATACTAGGTTGTGAATGCAATGCAAAAGTCTGCTATATTGCTTCTTTTCCTGTATCACCAAATTTCTATTTGTTTGTGTGCTTTTGGAATTGAGATTATTAATGAAATTGTATTGCCAAGCATACCAGGGTCCTTCTGGGACCCTGTGTGTTGTCACACCTAATCCAGATGCCTTACTATTATATCTGAAGCTTCTCAGTTAATAAATAGAAACTACACACCTAACTATCTGCACCATAGGTCGCCTCATTCAGTTCACCGTCTCTATTTGAAGCAGAGTAGCTTCAAGAGTTATTCCTTGCTAACTGCCGCCCTCTGATGTTGCTATATATTATCAGCAGCAACTCAGAGGAAATTCCTTGGGTTTCTGTCTTTTGAGCACTTTGAACATTAGTGTAGTCTTTGTCATCCACCCTTTCACTTCAAAACTGAAGACTGATGAAAAAACTTCTTTCTAAAACCAGTCTAATTTTTATGAATACCTTTGAAAGACTTTTTGCATTACAACTGTATTGCTTCGCTATTTTTTGAATTCAAAAATAGAGAATCATAGATTCATAAAATATCCTGAGTTGGAAGGGACTCACAAGAATCATTGAAGTCCAACTCCCAGCCTTGCACAGGACAACCCCAAGAGTCACACCATGTGCCTGAGAGCATTGTCCAAATTCTTCTTGAACTCTGTCAGGCTTGGTGCTGTGACCACTTCCCTGGGGAACTTGTTCCAGTGCCCAACCACTCTCTGGGTGAAGAAGCTTTTTCTAATATCCAGCCTAAACCTCCCCTGACACACCTTCATGCCATTCCCTCTGGTCCTGTCACTGATCATAATGTTGGCATTTGTTCCGTCTAGTCTTTCTCCTTCTCTGTTTCTGAAATTGCACAAGGGATGGTTGATGTGTCAAAGAACTTTTTCTCCCATGTTTATATATACTATCTAAATAATATCTTTCATGGCTTATGGTCTCACTCAAGAATTACTGTGTAATTCTGTGCACCTGGTTCTAGAACAGAGTGACAATGATAAATGCTTTCTCTTTGAGCAGATTATTTTGTAGTGTTGGCATTACACACTGTTCTTTACATTACTGTGTCAGCCTGAAATACTGACCTTGGCTCAGTATTTCAGGGCCAATGCCAAGGACCACAGGTTGTCAAGCATCTAGGAAAAATGATACCTGATGCTTTAATCATACTACTTTCATCTTGCTTTAAGGAATTTGATACTTAAACCTTTATGCTTGGCATTTCAGTATGAAATACTGAGTTTTCTGAAGCTTGTTTTCTCCTAATCTTGTTTTTAGGGGTCTATTAAGTGTATCATTATCCCTGGTATTATTTTCAGTTATCTTACAGGGTTGAAGGTGTAAATTCCCCTCTCATACTCATCTGGCTTTGGCCTAATACCTTTTTCTTCAGGTAAATCAAAGAAATTAATTTACTGTAACAGTGATTGTCTGCTCACTTCTCTTTTAGGCTCTCATATTTTGTCTTATCCATAGTGCTATAGAGTTTTCATGTTCTTCCTCATACTGGCATCTTTAGAATGCCATCAATTATTAATTTCACATCTATAATTTCTTATGTTATTTCAAGTTCTTATTTCTGAATGTCTTCTGAAGGTAAAATTTGTTGGTGATACCTTTGAAGCATCATGTTCCAAATGAAATGCTCAAGATGAGTATTTTTCTTTTTTTTTCAGTCTGATCTTTCAAGGAAAACTTGTAAATTACATCATCTACGATGAGAAAGGTGATGTGACCATAACTGCAGAATGAAAGAAGAAATTTCTGTGGTTGCCAAAGCAGAATTCAAGCCTCAAGTTTTTTACTTTCTTGGCAGATTTCCCCTGAGAGCATGGTTGTTGGCTTGGGTTTTTTTTTTTATGTTTGTGGGGTATAACATAAAATATGTCCCTAATATGAATTGTTTATCCAAAAAAAATTTGAAACCATTTGATATAGTTTGAAACAATGAACAACTAGGCACATACAGGATTAGATTTTCTGTGGTAGCTAAGAATACTGTCTTTTCCTTATGAAAAAGAAAAAGGATGAGAGATCTCCAAAAATATGCATTAGATTGCATGCTAGCTTACATAGGCTTTGCTTTCAGTTTGCAGAATCACAGAGTCATAGAAAGATTAGGGTTGGAAGGGAACTTAAGGTTCAATCCCCCTGCTGTGGGCAGGGACACCTCCCCCTAGACCACGTTGCTCAAAGTTCCATCCAACTGGTCTTGAACACTTCCCGAGATGGGGCATCCACAACTTCTCTGGGAAACCTGTTCCAGTGCCTCACCACCCTCACAGTAAAGTGTTTCTTCTTAATATCTAATCTAAACCTATTGTATTTTAGTTTAAAGGCGCTCTCCCTTGTCCTGTCACTTAAATGCCCTTGTCCCTTTTCATCTTTCTCGTAGGCTCCCTTCAGGTACAGCAAGCTTGCAAGTAAATCACCTTGAGGCCTTCTCTTTTCCAGCCTGAACAATCCCAATTCCAACCAAAACTTTCAGCATGAAAATATCGTGCTCTGTTAAGTCTAACACCAGTTCTTCTGGAGTCTGGTAAGTTCCTTATTGCTTTTTTGGCATGCCTGGAGGTCAGTGTACATCTAGGGCCATGCTGGCTATCTTGGCTTTGCTGTCAGTGGAAAATGGCATTGCATCCCAGGAGCAATCAAGTTCAGTTTGAGGTCACACTTGCCTTTCTCTGCTCTATGGCTGTGTCAGTCACAGCAGTAAAGAACCAGGAGGAATTTACTTCTGGTCTCTGCCCAATTTTTCTACAATTTGAGTAGTCCAGGCATACTGTCTTTGAAGAATGAAGAGTGACAGCAACCATAATACCCCAAAAGGTGGCCCTTGATACTGACAGTGTTAAATTTGTTTCACTAACCTGCCTGCAGCCATTCCACTCCTTGGAGGAGCAGGGGCAAGCAGCCCATGTCCTTCTGCAGGCCTGCCAGCATCTGCAGAGCACACTCGGATGGACCTGGAATAAAACCCTCCTTGGTGACAGAGAAGCCTGGCTGAGTTAGTGTTGCCAGTTTAGGGACTCTCTAAACACAGACACAGAGACTAGTTTAGAAAGGAGACATTGTTTATTCTGTGCAGGGTGCAAGGTGGAAGTCTTCCACAAATCAAGCACACCAGTTCTCAAAATTTTACACTATATATATGTTTTAGTAAACAAAGAAATCACAGTTCATTGGCTACAAGTTACCTAGTTTTCTTATTAGTTTTCTTATTAATTAGCATTCTACTTTCTATTAGTTAAATGATTCTCTCAGTTCTCATGCTAATTAGTCCACATGCTCAATCTTTCTCATCTTTTGAGTTTCCTGAGTCGGGTGGTTGCAATCTCCCACTGCTGAACTCAAGACGCCAGCACGGGGACCTGTGGCGCCTTTGCATCAGGCAAAGCATTGCCAGCTGGTCCAGGGAGGTGCCTTTGCATCAGGCAAAGCATCGCCAGCTTGTCCCACTCTGCTCTGCACTGGTGCGGCCTCACCTTGAATATTGTGTGCACTTTTGGGCACCACAATGTAAGAAAGATATTAAGCTATTAGGGAGTGTCCAAAGGAGGGCAACGAAGATGGTGAAGGGCCTTGAGGAGAAGCCGTATGAGGAGTGGCTGAGGACACTTGACCTGTTCAGCCTAGAGGAGACTGAGGGGAGATCTCATTGCAGTTACAACTTCCTTGTGAGGGGAAGAGGAGGGGCAGGCACTGATCTCTTCTCTGAAGTGACCAGTGAGAGGACCTGAGGGAATGGCCTGAAGTTGTGTCAGGGGAGGGTTTAGGTTGGATATTAGAAAAAGATTCTTCCCCAGAGGGTGGTTGGGCACTGGAACAGGCTCCCCGGCGAAGTGGTCACAGCACCAAGCCTGACAGAGTTCATGAAGCATTCGGACAATACTCTAGGGCACGTGGTGTGATTCTTGGGGATGGTCCTGTGTGGGGCAGAAGTTGGACTCTGTAGTCCTTGTGAGTCCCTTTCAACTCAGGAAATTCTGTGACAAGGTGAGATTGTTTCGTAATCCCGTTCTCATTCTCCATAAGTCTCGGAGCAAATTGTTAACTGTTTCTGACTCTCGAGATGTCACCATCGGCAGGGCGCGGGTGGGCAAAGAGACAGGAGATGAAATGCAGAGGCAGACAGGAACACTGTGACCGGGTGTCTCTCTCTGCGGGTGGCCTGGGGCAGCGCCGCCACCATCTCTGCTCAGGGCACGTCGCCGTGGGCAGCGCCGAAGCCGCCATCTCTAGGGCGGGCACCGCCATCTTTGCACCGGGCACGGCGCCCGGGCGGGGCCGGCGCGGCGGGGCCGGGCGCGCTCGCGCAGCTCCATCACGTCCGGCGGCGGGCCCAAGGCAGGGGCGGGCACGCGCGGCGCGGCCAATCAGCGTCGCCCACGACCCTCCCCGCTGGAGGCGCAGCCGGCGGTCGGTCGGGCCGGGCCCGGAGCCGCCACTGTTGGGACCGGGCGGCAGCCGAGCGGGAGGAGATGGTGTCCCCCGGCGCCTCCGCCGGGCGGCTGGGCTCCGCGCTGCCCTTCCTGCTCGTGCTCCTCGACCTGCAGTACCAGGGTGAGCGCCGGGCGGGAGTCACTGAGGGGGCAGCGGAGGGAGCCCCGGCCCGGCCTAGCCCGGGGGCCGTGTGGCTCCGGGGGCTGTGCCACCCCTCCGCCCGCGGCCCGCCGGGCCCGGGGCAGGCCGCGGCTCGGCCCGCGGCTGTGCCAGCTGGGGGCTGCTCGTCCTGCCTCCGCTCCTCCTGCCAGGCTGTCAGTCGGGCCGTGCGGTGTCCGCCATGGCGGCGGGGCACACACACCCCTCCGGCCGTGGGACGGGGGAAGTGTTTAGAGAAAGGGTGTGAGGAGGGAGGTACAGCGCTGCCACCTCATCAGTCGGGGCGGTGGCGGAGGGTGCGTAATGAGGGCACCGCCGCTGCCGGTGAGCTGCTGGGGTTAATCGGAGTTCCTGGTGGTGCGGCTTGACGTGGCTTGGTGTGCGTGTTCGCTTCGCTTTCCCGGGATTGCTCATGGATGGGGTGAGGCTACCGACAGCCACTGTGCGCCCTCGGGATGCCGTGGTGTCTTCGGGTGCAGCGGAGGGACAGCATCGGCCGTTCCGTGCTGTCCGTGAATGTCTCACTCCGGTATGGATTTCGTGTAGTTCCCAAGTTCAGAGGTTTTTCCAGTGGCCCTCCTCGGCCACAGCCGGTATTAGTGCCACACATACAGATTCGCTGAGGCTCCTGACAGTTGTGTTGCATTTGTTACTGATTGTGTTTTGTTGTTATGGTTTCTGTTGTTCCTTTATTTTTTTCCCCCCCTCTCACCATTAGTATTTGAGGTTCAGCTTATCTGCACTTTGTGCAAGTTGTTTACTTTCAGAGTACGTTGTCAGCAACACCTGTGTAGCCAGAATTTTTTCACAGGTTTCTGTTAAATTTCTAACTCGGTTATACAGTAGTGTTTGTTGTCAGAGTTTCACCTGAGGGACGTTCTTTAGCTGGCAGTGGCAGATGAAGTGGAACTGAAGGTGTCAATAGTCAGAATAAGTCTGTGGGCTGAAGGCTAGCATTAAAAATTCATTTGATACACCAAATTAAAGAATAGTTTAGCTGACCGGGTGGCTACAGGAACATACTGTGGCAAAGATACTCTGTCTTATAAGACTACATACTGTGGTGTTAAATTGCCTTTTTTTTAATATGTGTTCTAGTGGTGTTAGAAGACAAGCAATAACTTTTGTCAAAGTATACTTTTCTTTTCCCCCTGAGATTTTGACAGTGGTGCTCCTGCTAGGATTCTTTTATTTAGAGTTGCCAGCCTATTTCAAGTATGTGGTTTAATGGCTATTTGGACTTATAAAGTCACATTGCCTAATTTGGGGGACATTTTCTTAACTTCAGTTAATAAAGATGTAGACTTCAGTTACAGAATGCGAAGTGGTGATTCTGGATCTTATTTACTAAACTACCCTCTTAGTTCATGAGTTCATTTTTCCAGAATGTGTAGTTAGAGAACTTAGGGGAGGGGGGCTTACATTATTTAAGTATCTAGATTCCCCCCCCCCGCCAATATTACTCATCTTCAAGCTCAAAGATGAGTTCATATTCACATCTAAATTTGTATCTTAATGTTTTTATAATAGAAGTCTGCCTTGTGTCATCTGAGTCATGAATCTGTGGAAGAATCATTCTGTGTTAACTTTGTATCTTACAATTATGTCTATTAATATCTGGCTGGAAAATGCACCAAAAAGGTTTTTGAATACTTGGTGATTGTGACAGGTCGCTGTTGTTCTCCCTGAGTTCCACCTGTTCAAATACCCGGACTTGTGCTGGATTTGACGAAGATCCTCTGTTGGGAAGATCCATTCTTCGTGGCTGTTTGTCCACACTAATCACAACAAAAAGAGGCTGCTAAGGAGGACAGAGGAGTGTTGTTCATTTTTGCTCTCTCCTTCCTGGCAGTAGAAGAAAGGAAATGTAATATGGGGAAGAATAAATGGGCTCTGAGTATATAGAGCTCAGTTTCTTACTGTGGGACCACAAGCATCAAGTGTTTCTTTTCCTCCCCCCACCGTGTGTTTCAGCCCTGAGTTTGGGAGCTTTTTTTTTAACTCGCTCCAAATAGCAAAGGCTACTTGGGGGCGGGGCTTTTTGTTTGCCACTCTCAGCTATATTTACCAGCTTGCTTTGCAAACAGAAGGAATAAAAACTTGATGGGTGGAAGTTACAGTGGCTCAACTGGATACTCTGAGACTCTTTGTGAACCTCAGAAGTATTGCTTCTGAAACTGTGGTTGCTTGTCCATATCTTACTTTGTTCAGTGTTGTGCTTGAAAACCATGCTTGCAGACATACATAAATTAAAGCCTAAACCTGTTTAAAAATAACAGCGAACTTAAGACCGGTTGTGCTAAACACAGGGTCATTCTGATCAAAAAACTTTGCAAAAGACAAGATGAGACAATCATTAAGCTCCTCTATGTAAGAAAAAAAAAAGTTTTGATGAGTGTAGTTAAGGTTAGTGACATATGTGCTTCTTCTTTGACTTTGAAACAACTGTTTCTGTTACAGAGTAAGAATTAATTCTGTTTATTTTCATAGTCTTGTTACTCAGTTTAGGAACAAGATTTAGAAAAAAAGGCGGAAATTTTATGGAGGAGGGAAAAGAGGAGTGTGTAGATAAACGTAGCATCTTGAAACTCTTCTCGGGTTGCAGGGCTTCCTTGAGGTTTTTACACTGCGGATGTGACCGATTATATGAGGATATGGTTGAAGTTTGTATACTTAGGTACCTACATATTAGCACCAATTATTCTAATAAAACAGAAATCCTACCAGGAAGTTACAATTTGTTTGAAGTGAGTGCTTTTATCTGGAAAAACAGGTTACCTGCACCTGCTTATGTTCCCTGTGCCTTCTAACTGTTGTCCCGTGAGTTGTCAGGGCTGGTACCAATTATCTGGGAATAGTTTGGGGTTTTGTGTTTGATTTGGTGTTTGTGGTTTTTTGGGGGTTTTTTGACTCTTTCACTCTTGCAGCAGTACCAGGACTACAGACCCTGAATTTATCCGGAATATCTGGCTTGATTTGACAGCTGGGGCTCCTGTGTGTGTGGTCATCTGAGGCCTTTGGTGAATAGATAACAATTAGTCAGGCTTTAGAAATCATATTCAAATTAAAATATTTGGAAGTTTTAAAAATAAATATTATACTTGCATATCTGTTGTGTAAATTTAGTTTCTTGCTGGAGCATACAGAGCTTCTTCAGCTGGGCCCTTGGTATCCAGCTCACCAATGACTGTGTATCTGTTGGAAAAAGCTCTGTGGGGTGGGTTTGGTTTTTTTGCTCTGGCTGAACTTTAGTTTTTAGGCTCATTCCTAGACCACACAGTGAATAGGTACCCAAATAGTTGCACAGAATCTGAGTCCTTGGACTCCTGTGCTTATGTTATCAGTTTTCAGATGTCTGCTGTGGGCTAGTTTAGTTACAGCAGTTGTTTGCCTACAGCCAGACAACGAATAAGCAAAAGATTTCTGTGAATAAGCAGCCCAACTATCAGGTCAGTGTACAGTGTTCCTGAGTAGTTACAGTACATATCACTTTTCATCGTGATTAGGCTGATGGTACAGGTTGCTTCTGGAGATTCACACATCAGTTTATGATGTTCAGCTATTTGCAGTGCCAAGGTTTAATGTATGTCAAGTATAATTAGTCTTGTTCTGCAGGGAACCTACAGTCCTTCACAATTTGCCTTCTTTATTTATGTTGCTTCTGCTTTTATTGTTTATTTATTTGCCACTGTGGTCACCCGTCCCATTTCTTTTATTAATTGTCCTCAATATTCTCACAGAAAAAGACATCTCTCCTGCCTAAAGGATTATGTAACTGTCGAACTGTACTGAACATGATGTGTTTGAAAGACACCAAATTGTGTAGGTGCAGCTTATTGTGGAAAAATATATTCTTGGAGGTATCCTGGTGTGACTAAATGGGAAACAAGGACACTCCTTCAGATGCTTGAAACTGTTTTGAGTTTTTTTGTTGTGTTGATTTTTTTTTTCTCCAATGCTTGCTTTTATCATTTTAGAGGACACTGGACTACTTGATCATCAAAGCTAGAGAAACAGCAAAACGGGCAAGGAAGAATGTCCTTTTTTTCTAAAAGTTGGATGTTTATATAAAAAATTCCTGGAAATGGATACTGTGTGTGAAAAAAAAATTACTGTCCATTATCAGTGGAGCTATTTGTATTGTATTCAGAGCTATACATACCTAGAATTTATTTTAAAATATGTCATTTAATAAGATCCTCAAATTGTCTATATGATAAATAATTGTTATTTTAATGTCATCTACTTAAACAAAAAAGTATTCACTGGAAATTTGGGGCTTATTTCATAAAGTAGTTTCCATTAATTAAAAAAAGGAATTTGTTTGCTGTTATTGTTCTAAAACAAATAATTTATCTGAAGCCCTTGAGTCCAGTTTGCTGAATTATTATCAATCTCTTAGCAGACAAAGCTTTGTCTAGTGGATATGTGGGGTATTTTATTCACTTTAGTATAGACAACTCCATGATTTTCTTATGGAATTAAAGGAATTATGAAACTGTATTAAGGAGTGGGAAAGAAAATTAAATTAAGATCCCAGGTGTTGTGAACTCCTGGGTCTAAAATCTTGATGACTTGGTGATCAGAAATTACTGTTTTTTCATTACAAATACTTTGTTGTTTAATTACCTTTCAGTGTGAGAAATTTGGATATCAGTGTAGTATAATGCTTTTATTCAACCTGTGAGAAACGGCTTCCAAGTGTGACTGCATTTTCATATTTAAAATTAATTCAAATGCCTATCTGAATTAGCTCAATGCAAAACCCGAGTGAAATAAATTATAAATCACTGGTTTTTTAATGTAATATGCTTATTCAGGATTCCAGTGTATTCCCTTGCTTAAATTGAGGCATTAGGAAAAGGAAACTACTCGTAGTGTAAAAGTTTTAATAGTCACAAGCTGGTAGGTAATTTGTAGTGAAATTCTGCCCTCATCTGAAGACTGCTGGAAGCAGGAGCAATGAAAAACCTGTTGCTGAATTGATGTATGTACAGCATGGACCTGCACTCAGCTGCTCATTTCTTCTCAACAGTAGTCTTTTGCTGTTGGTTGCGCAGCAGCAGTTTATTAGCTTTAAACTGAAACTGGCACTTCAAAGAATTACCACCTTGGTATGATTTTCATGCTACTGGTTAAATGAAAAAGGAGTGAGAATTTTTAATTATTTTTGTCAAAACTTCGCTCTGGAAGTGTGAGCTATGAAGATGAGACAAAAGTGCAATAGATGAGAAGCTGGTCTCTAAGTAGCTAACAGTTCTCAGTTAAGTACTGATTTAACAGCAGGATCATGAAATTTAACTTAGCCTTTGTCTATTTGTTCTCTGTGTGTTATGAGTACTTTTCCAGGTTCCTCTGAAGTTGAAAGCCAACACAGAAATGTAGTTGGTCAAACTGTATTTGTAGTTGATGTAAAAATCTTGATGTGCAAAAGTGTATTACTGAATATATAGACAGGAGTAGAAATGCATATTTGGTGACTTGTCACAATGTGGTGCTTTATGATGTTTTATCTAGTTTGACACGTCCTTATTTGGACATGCTATGAGCTTATTAGGCTGCAGGTTGCTTTACAGAACCACACAATCAATTAGTTTGGAAAAGACCTCTCAGATAATCAAAAGTACAGGAAGATGTGACTTCTGCCTCTGTTTCAATAACATGTTGTTAGATATTTTATCACTGTATTTGTTTGGTATAATCAAACTGGTCATTCCAAACCTTGATCTTTTTTTTTTTCTTTAAGGAGCTGAGTGTGGAATAAATGCAGAAGTAGAAAAACAACTTGAAATGGGAAAGAAATTACTGGCTGCAGGACAGCTAGCAGATGCTTTGTCTCACTTTCATGCAGCTATAGGTATGTATCTCAGGGAATGACTCTTGCACTGAAATACCTTTAGGTGGGTTTTTTTGCTTCATTAAGTATCCTGCTTTCTTACAAATTGCATTCCATGAGTCATAGAAATTGGGGCACCCTTATGCAGCAGTTTGGACAGGAACCAACAGAGATGCAGTAGAATATTTATCCTTTGGTTTTGATAAAAAAAAAAATTAACTACATCATACATAAACACGAAGTCACTGCTGTTCTACAAGTGAGCTATATGAAAGGAATTATAATTGATTGTGGTATCTTTTAATGAGGTATTCCCTGAGTGTCAAATGCCATCAAGATGAGGTTTTATATTTATGACATTTTTCAAAGTATGTCTTTGAAAGGCTGACTTCTATCCAGGGCTATAAAAAAATTAATGTTTAGAATAGTCTTTCTCCCTTTTTATTTTTTCTTAATTAAATCTTGAAGTGTGTGATACCTCAGTGAAACTGGTGCTACAAGTTTGAGATACTGAATGTGTAGTGTAGAGCAAAATTGTCCCTCCATTGTACTTAACTAGTGAGTTAGTTCTTGTTTGGTGTTCTGCCTTTTCAACAAATTGAGGAGTTAAATGTTTGGTTTTAAGAATTTTAACACAACTTTGCTGATTAAAATCCTTTAATTGAAGCACAGAGACAGCACCAGTAAAGAGCAGAGTCCATTAACACCACAATTTCTTAATTGCATGGTGGGTTTTTTTTAAAGTTATCGGACTTTGTTATAGTGTACAAGTGCATAGTTTCCTCCATGAAAAGAATGTTGCTAAGATGTTATACATTGATGGGTCATACTGTTGATACTTTTCTATTTATGCCTTGGTCCAGTAGTGAGATGTAAATGAAATATCAGAAGTAATTTCTTTGCGTTCTCCAAGATCAAATTCCTTTATATAAGGGAGTGGAGGGGACAACTTCCTTTTTTTCTGTGTCGTGGAAGCTCCCCATTCCACCAAGAGGCATTCTGTTACTCCTTTTGTTTGTGTGTTGCTGCCAAAGCATTTCTGTGAGATCTGCATTACAGCAGTGCTTTACTTACTCCTTTACTATTGGTTGGGAAGATTTAACTTGGATTTGGTGAGAAGTCCAGTTGAGGCTGTGGCCGTGCAGTTGCTGGTGGTGGTGCAGAGGCAGCAGTGGTATGAGGTGGGATGAACAGTGAGGTGCCTGCAGGTGAAACCCTCTGCTTTGCCAGCTGTGCTTGAGCAGCTTGTAGAACTATGGTGTAACCACTTCAGTTGTGACCTTGATGGGATTCTTAGTTGGATGCTAATTTGAGCCTGATTGCCTAATTTTCATCAGACTACTACTTCTTCGTGTTTTACCTCTTTGAAAAGATTTTAAGCATGATTTGCCAACTGTGCTTGTAGAGGAGGCATGAATTCTTTTTTATCTGTACTACAGCATTGCAGGCTGTGAGGTAAATAGATCTCTTTGTCTTGCCTCAGCCAGCCTGTTTTTGTTTTTTGCAAACTTCTAAAATAGAAGACAGCTACTATCCATATTATCTCTCTTCAGTTGAATTTGCAACTCTTTCTTTAATCCCATCAAGTTGATGGCTTATAACTTCTCTCTGGGAGTCAGTTGCTGTTCATTGCTATTACTGGGGTACTGAGGCAAAACTATCTGACTATCTGGTGCTTTTCTCTGTTAGCTTTTTCCTATCTTTCATCTTTGTGTATTAATAAAGTTCCTTAATTTCAATTGTTGATTTGTAGTTGTAGCCTACAGAGATGTATATGAATTTATTTGATGCCCATAATCCTGGCAAGGTGGCATGCAGCGTGGGAGTTATTAAACTTGAACAACTGGAGATAAGCATTTCCACAGCCAAGACATTGTAGAGAAAGAGTGCAGATCTCTTTTCCAGTGAGAACTGAACTAGTGGTTTGGTAATGGAGATGGCCAGCTATGAAACTTGGTGGCTAACCATATGATTTTTGGCAATGCTATTTCTTTAATTTATTTGAAAATTCAACTTAACCTCAGATGAAGTGAGGAAGAAAAATGCTTCATATGGATGTTCTTGTCCACAAATTCTGGATTGATTATTATGTTTTTAATAGTACAGTAAAAAGTTTCCTGTCTTTTACTGCATATGATTGGTTGGGTGATTTAAGTTACTTTTCCTTGACAGCCTACAGTAACTGTTACCTGTTTGTTTGAAATACTTGCATAGACAAGAATGTTAAGAAAATTGTTCTTGGTTTCGAGACTGAGGTTTGCCTCCTGTACAGGTATATGTGTATGTGCTACCCTAGAGAGAGTTAAAATTGCTGGATCTTGGAATTTTGGCCAGAAAACAATATAGAGTGTATGGGCCCTGCAGTTAGCCTTTAGGCTTTGATAACGTGTATGCATTTGTCTGCTGATGAGATGATGAGAGGGGGTGTTGGTGCCCGTTTTATTATTCGATAAAGAAGTTGCTGCTATTTCAGTGGATGATATAAAGAGTTTGTGTCTGTGATGGCATTGGACTAATGTACTCGTCATTTTAGGATTATTTTCTTGCATCCTATTTGGTGATCAAGGACTGGGCTGGAAAATGATGAATTAATTTGCTTTCACATGTAGGCCTACAGCTGGAGGTGAAGGGTTAGTATGTAGTGGCTGTTCTGTGCAAAGCTAAAGAAACATGTATATATTTAACCTCCAGTGCTCTCAATTATGTGGCATTTACTGTGTTTCTGTAATCTTTATTGTTACATTATCAAACTGCATAGAAAATACTGCTTGGATAATGTTACAAATGCTGTGTCTTAATAAATACCATTGTTTCCAGTGGCTTAAAAGTAAGTTAATATATTTTTAGTCATTACAATTTCGCTGTACACGAGGTTTCAGTTGCTTTAAGATAGTATTCTGATTATTGTTTGTTCATTTGCAGAAGGAGACTCTGATAACTACATTGCTTATTACAGAAGAGCCACAGTGTACTTAGCCATGGGCAAATCTAAAGCTGCAATTCGTGATTTAAGTAAAGTGGTTGAATTAAAGCAGGATTTCACATCAGTAAGTATTACTGGAATTGAAGATGATCAAGTGTAAAAAAAAAACCAACAAACCTGCTTCAAAGAAGGTTGGGGGTTTTTTGTCAGATTTTGCTCAACAGGAATAGAGAATACACTCTGAAGGCTTTAAATAGGATAAAATAATAGTGGTGTATGTGCTTTAATTTGCAGCTATGCTGAGTACAGTTAGCCAGTTATTTGAACAACTAGTAGTTTTATTATGTACATGTTCTTCATGGATTTTTGCTAAACTCTTCCCTTTTCTCACTTGTGGTTATTCTTCTCTTTGTCACCAAGGCTGTGCCACCTGGGGCAGGGAGAAGAGAGCACACACATTTCTCTTTTTTTTCTGTCTTAATCAGCATTTGATTTGAGAGATCTCTTCTCCACAGGAACTGTCCTAATCTCACTGCCTTCCTATGGGATTGTTGCAGGTTCTGATTACCTTACCCCTTTCTCACTTGTGCATACTGTATATGGAGGCTGCCTCACTACTTGGAGAGTGATGCTGGAGTCCTCTCCATCTGATTCTGTCATCTGCCTTTTCCATGGGCAGTGGCATGTCCTGTATAGTTTACAATGAAGAAGCAAATGTTAAATTCATTGTTGTAAGAAAACATTCTATCATAAATCAAAGCCTTATAAATAAATAACTTGTCTTTTCACATTGTTTCTATTATTCTGAATTTAGTGGAAGAATTAAATGTGGTAATTTTTTATTGTTTGTTATTTATGCTATTTTTTTAATCTGTAAGCAGTTATAATCAGGAAAGTGATGTAAAGTCAACATTCACTTTTGTTTGTGCAACTCTTCAGATGAGTTCTTTCCATGAGTTGCAGGTACTCATAAAAACTATGACTGCTTTTTGTCCCTCAAAAACAGAGTATTGCTCTGGTGCAGAACAATACTTTACCATTAAAGAGGCCTTATAAAAACATTGTTAAATGTTGAAGACAAAGAATGGGTGTTGTGATCTCTATTTCAGCTTGTTAGCTGTACTAAAATCAAACTTCTTTTTTCCTGCTGAAGGAAACTGAAGTTTCATACTTTCAAACTTGTGTTCATACTTTGCTGAATTCCTATTTGTAAATCAAAAGAAATTATCTGATGTTTCATTTCAGGCAAGATTACAGAGAGGACACTTACTGCTTAAGCAAGGAAAATTTGATGAAGCAGAGGATGACTTTAAAAACGTGGTAAGCTGGAAACCTAAGTTGAACTACATCACTGCTTTCAAGGTTGGGTTCTGAGCCAAGGTCATATCTCAACTCTGATGCTCTATGGTATATATGGTATGCATGCCTGGATTTGTCTTTCCTGCTCTTTAAAGCGGTAGCTAAGCTACCTGGTATGAATAAATGACCAGTAAAGTTGCAGTATAGTGATGAGGATGAAATCGAGTGTTGCCTGAAACAATGTAGCACTTTGAAAAGTCGTCTCTGTGTGCACTTGACTCTTCATGATCTCTGCTTGATGACAGCTGTACTAGGGAGCAATCTTCATTCATAAAGAAATAAGTGATATGGGACTTGAAGTACGTAATTGAACTCCGGTTTACATCACTATATTGTCATCTCCCTGGGAAATCCCTAGGGAAATCACATGGATCAGCCTTTAAAGGTTCCTATCTCTTTTCACTGATTGCAGAAGAATTGTGGGCTTTTAATTTAGTCACTGAGCTGTTAAATCAGTGAATTTCAGTGGCATGCTTCTGCCTGGCTTCTAATCTGCAGACGAGTTCTTCATCTTTCATGAATGTGTTGACAATACTTACTCTCCATGATCAAGAAGTGCCCAAAGTTTTCATATACACAGTTGGATATTACCCACCTAAAACTCACTTGAGCTGTTTATAGTTTTGATGGGTGTTTTTTAGCCCTGCACTGCAAAAGTAAACTGATCTAACCCCAAAAGAAAGGTCCTTAGAGAATGTGAAGCTTGATTTCCTCTCTATTGCACAAAATTCATGTAAATATGAGTATAAATAAGATTCATTCTTATTCTTGCTTATTCTTCAAGAGTTTCTAGTTTGAACAGCTGTCTCTTATG